AAATAAACCGATTAACAAAGAGTTTACTCAGTCTTAGTCCTATATCATAACTTGCAACTGAGAATAAGCTGAAGATGTCATCCGCAACAGTGTTTTATAAATAACAGACAAAGCTTTTATATAGGCCATGTAAGGCCATGTAAAAGCATGGCCTTAACCATTCACTTGTGCTTATATACTGTATGTATTATGCACTTTATGTTGGCCAACTATCAGGTTTTGTGATTAACACGTGAGGGAAATAAAATGGAGAGAACATCTACAGCAGGGAAAAACACTCCTGAATCACATTTACCGGGTATTAGTTGTTGCAAACAATTAGTTAAGTACTTGGCCTGAATCATCTGCTGATCAGGTTTGTCCTCAAGATGTGTGTGGATGACTCATTGTACATTGAAGTAATTGTGGAGGTGCAATAATCAAACCCCCCCCCCACCCACCCCCAAAGAAAAGACAATTGCAATTTGCATAAGTTAAGCAAGTCCAAAAGGAGACATGGTATAATGACTTGGGAAGGAAAGTAATTCACCATTGATTGCAAAGGAGACTTTAAAGAAAGCTGAATAATTAAAATGGCCATAATCAGTCAGCTCACCAGACGATCCATACCTGACGCTGCCCCGACAGCAAACCCCACCTTTCAAAAGACAAGCAGCACTTCGGAGGCGGCAAGTTGGGCAGGAAAAGAATCGCTGGAGGGTTCTGAGAAATGTCTCTGACTTTGCAGCGGTGTCGAAGCGTTCATCGCTGCGGGAGATCTTAAATGAACACCAATCAAAAGGAAGTCCAGGCCCACACAGCCAGCTTGAACCCTCACCATCCCTCAGCATGAAGCCCCCGGAGAGGTGGGTGGCTTTGGAGAAAAAGGCATCTGGCGGAACTTAAATAGCCCAGGACTAAAAGTGCGACAATACTCGGGGTCATGGCAGCTATTCCTGATGCAGTCTTGCCTTGTTGAAGATTAGAGATTTGATTAAACTGAACCCTGTCACAAAAATGTGTCATCACAACCCCGTGGTACCTCAGTACCAGCTTCCACAGAGGTCAGTCAGCCACATATTGGAATAGACAGTATGAAGCTCTGAACTTGCTCAAAATAGTCCAAAGCAGCGCTGCACACAGATTACAGACTCACTCAGTGCGAGTCTCACTGCGTCTACAACACGTCCGAGGGGAGAGGATGGGAATTAAACAAATGCCATGAACTTAATAAAACAGAAATATCAGTAACACAAACTATAATGGCTGCCATAAAAGAGAGGCTGTGAAAAAATATTTTTGGAAGCAGTTATTTCCTATCTTAAACCGGGAGGAAAAAAGGGACAGTGAGATGGTATTTTCGTCCCTTTAAATCAAACCAGGAGACGAGACGGAGAGTTCCGCGTGACACGTATGCATAAAAATGTCTACGAAGGTAATTAACTGCAGGAGGAGAGGAGAAGCTTTTTCCACAAGGCAACAGAAGCAGACATTGGGATCTGCCCTGTGTGAAACGCAGGGTGCCAAAAGTCAAAGTTCAGGCAGCATTTATTTTCCCCTTTTCTTTTGTCTGCAAGATGCTGCTGACATTGATATCCACAGAAAATACAGCGCCTGCACACACATTTGACTTGTTCATTCACATCGGGCTTTGGCTATGCTACATGCCGAACACACATGTCTGATTTCTAAACATTGGGCATCATGAGAATGACCTTCTGTACACATGAGTTATGCACAATTCTGAGCATAACAAGCCTGTTTTTCCTTGAAGCAATGATCATAAAAACAGCTTTGCACTCACATTGATTCAGCTTTGAGGGACTGCATGCACACCATTCACGGGGAGCAGTTAGTAGTTCTTATTCAGATGCTTGCTGGCTCAGCACTCACAGTGGGTAAAGCAGCAGTGTTACTGATAACATGAACGATGGCTTCAACCTGTTATTACTGAAATAATAGAAAACGTCAAATTCACATGAGAATATCACAATGTTAAGAGATTTCATAAGGCCATCGTTTACTAATTAACTTTGTTTGAAGAGGCCTACCTCTCTTCAGCAGAAGACAAAAAGCAAATACATAATAAAACATCAAACAAATACTTAAAGTAAGTTCAAAGCAACAAAAAAAGAATAATACAACAACTCAGAGCCTTAATTAGGTCTCAAAATAGTTTCCTGATCACAACAAAGGCTTTAAAGGGGCAAACTCAGATTTGGGGAACTTGTGGTAGCGATTCCCAAACGTCAACTTCTTTCTTTAAAGTTAAGAACAGCTTCAGGCAGCACATTGTTATAGCCACAGGCCATGTGAATATTGTATGTGTCTTATGCTTTAAATTCAGTAGACATATTAAAAAAAGACTTTAAAAAGTCTGAGTCAAACCTGATTTTCAGTTTCACTAAATTAGAGAACTGTAAAGCATTTGCCAATGATTCTCTACCACAACATCAGGTTGATATTAAAACCCATGACTAATGCACCTGAAGACCTTGAAGGCACGAGGCCTGTTGAAAGATTATCAGCCCACTGCTTGCACTGTGGAGACCCTTCAATTATGGAGTTGTCGACATGTTTTCTTTATCTTTTTTAAATGATTGCAAATGCAATAAGTTCAAGGACTGCCAGTATCAGAGTCAATGTGTTTTTAGAAAATTGCTGCACCTTTTTGTTGTTGTTGCAGTATTTAAATGCTTAAGTTGTAAGCATTTACAACCCCCGCGACACTGAATAGGATAAGGTTGACATCATGGTTTACAATTAGCTCAAAGACTACGCCAGAGAAAACGAATGAAAGCAACATGAAGACACAATCACTAAAAATAAAGAAAATGTAAAAAAATATAAGAGGAGAAAAATCCCTCCAGACAGACAGTAAGTAACAAGTTGCTCTGAAGAGTCTGCAGTGAGATAAACAGGCAGCCTATATCACAGGAAGCCTGAAGCAAGAACAGCAATCCCGGAGCACAGAGCGTGATTACAGTCTGTAAGGGTGGCAGGAGCTTTCTGTAAAGCTCACCTGTCGAGCAGATCATTGATCACAAATCATCTCCTCTAACTCCTGTAATCTTCCCATTCCGGCTGACAACGCCTTTCATTGTATTCTTGTAACTTGACACTGAGACTGGCAAGATGTCGAGCCATGGGAGAGATTATTATGTATAGAATGAGCTGTGAAATCATATTATCGGTGCAATAAGTGGGGGTTTGCTAAACTCAAAAAAAATCAAAGTCAAATAATTTGAGGAAAAAATGAGGACACACTGCCGACGTAAACTGTGACAAACTTCACTCCAGAAAATATTGCTGCAGCATTCAATTTACTGAAATGGAAAATACCTTTCATGTGTCATTCTGGGTTATTTTTCCACTCCCTTATCATTTCATAGCAAATCAAAATGCGTACTTCTGCACAAAAAGAGGGAATTTTCTTTTGAAAATGGTCACCATGGACACCAAGGACAGCTAAATAAACATGTAATGAAAGGCCACCAATGCTTTGAATGAAAAAAAACCAAAAAAAAACAGGTCCGGCTCTGCAAATCTAAATATATAGACGAAAGAAACATTTAGAGAATCAACTCAGCTGAAATTAATTAACAGCCCGCGCACCCAACACTCCTGCTCTGTAACAAGACCTCTGCTCATAAACCTTCGCGGTATTACACTCGGACGAGAAGTGCGAGGGAATAATGGCGGAATGTGACAAGCGATCTTACCTTAAAGACACAAGTTTTATCGCCTCTGTGAAGTTCCCACCTCACTGATTGCCTCTGGCAGTGTGCCCCAGAGCTCAGCGCTCTAATGAGCAGAGAGAGAGAGAAAAGAGATGTGATACACGCAGAAAGCCCGACCATTAAGACACTCAAGTGAAAGCAACAGTTTGCCAAGATTTAGCCTTCGTACTGTATGTGTGATATATGATATGGATTTGAGGGAACAATAGAGATCATATCAGAGTCATTAAAGCTCACACGAACAATCAGAGGATTTGCCAATTCTTATAGGCAGTTAATGACCCGTGAAATCCAGCTCTTGACTAAAATAATCTTAAGGAAATTCATCATATTGCATATAACTTTTTATTATACTGTATATATAGCCTATTGCATATGTAATTAAGTGTCTTTATATCCCACAATTAATATCATATTAATTATTTGTACCATTCAGATTGGAGCTTAGTACATCTTGCACATCATGACACAACTGAGTAAAACTTTAAGAAACCAACATGATGCATACTTACCAAAATGTATGATCGTCACGGATCTCTTTTATTCAGATGTGTCTGCAGGCCGAGAAGATGGAGAGTAAACACTTACAGCCAGGTGATCACTGGCTATCCTCGTCCCCATCTGACTGCCACTCCCAAGCAAAAACAAACAAACACAGAGGGAAGAGAAAATACATACACTGTACATGTATCTGTATAATTTAGACGGAAACGTAGAGCAGACACTTAGATCAGGCGAGCTTTGACTGTCTAATCCAGATGGGGGAAAAAGCAGGAAATCAGTATCGGAAATGTTTTTAAAATGAAAATATGAAACATCTTCATGAATTATTGGAAGGAAGGCTGTTCCAAAACAAGAGCTACATTTTTTTTGTGATATAAGAAATAAAATCGAGAAACCAACTAGCTTTGAATTTGATGGAATAAAAGGAATATAAAAGTGTCTGTGTGATAGTTTGACAAGAAAATGAATTCATTCTCAGGCATCTGGCAGACAAAATGTCTGTCCCACCCCACTAAATGTGAAATAAAATGCCTTACCCACTCTGGTGCCATCGGTAACCTGGCATCCCATGGTCTCAGTTAAAGGACGGACGTATGAGAGACTCAACAAATGTGAGCCTGCCACTTAACGCTACACTCACATTGAAAAGACATGAAGGCGTGAAAACAAGGACGTGACAATAAAACCGCATGTAGAAAGTTGAACTAAAGACTCTTTCTAACTGGGATCCGATTAATCAGTGTACAAATGAAGCAAGAAATTAAAGTCGGAGTCACATTAGAATTTGTGCAAATGTTTAATCATTTGTCTTGGCAGGACTCGGTGTAGATGGGATTCATTATTCTTTGCAACGGGCATGACAGTCATTTGAGCACAGTATAACAACGACGTCAAGCTCTCAAAGTAAACCAGAGTGCCGGTGAAGGGTAAAGTGAGGAAGTATTTACATTCTGATATAAGTGCCAAGCAATGCAAGCAGCATCAGGTTTGTAATCGTTAGGCCACTTACTACAGTCTCTCAATGTTGTACAGTACAGAAGAGAATGTAGCGATGAACTATTCTCTAGATTTAAATGTAGATATTCCTGAGTCAAGATAGCACATAAAACATTACATAACATTTTTAATTCGTCTGAGATAAGCAGTACAGACCATTTAACAGCGATACATTTTATAGATAACATATTATAGATATGTTGTATAATTTAATTACAATTCTAAATAACAGCGGGTGAGTGATTGATAAAGAAATGGGTTTTATGGGTGACGTATTCCTTTAACATTTCTTATCAAAGTCAATCATTAAAGTGCCTTTTAGAAAATCCCAACATGAGGTTGGAACTAACTGTGGATCAATGTGTTTGAAGACAAATATTCTTACATTAGTCGCTTGTTGATATTTATTGATTTATATAAATATCAGTGTAAGTGACCTAATATCTGACCTGATAACACCCACCTAAAACATCAGGGCAAGCTCCTCTTTTTTATTCAGTTTTACATTTCAAAATATGATCATATAAACAATAAAAAAATCTCAAACATAATGTCATTTGAAGTTCAATCCTGCGGTGTCCTAAATATTGTGCAAAGTATGCTGCTTTCAGAAGACCATTTGGTCCTCCACTTTGCTACGGTCAGCAATATACTTCAAAGTAAATCAAGCTGGCGTTGTCCCGATCAATATTTTGGGAGGACAGAATTATCCCTCCCAAAATCTTTGTTTACAGCCTGGTGGGGGCTGGATTTTTATACAACTCACCCGTTTAAATTATATTAAGGCTTAAAGTTAAACAAAATTATGGGCGGGGGCCGCTTTGAGTGACAGGTGGGTGCCGTACCGGTTCCCTATAGCTTGCCAACTTCTCTGCTGCATCACCTGACCCCGCCTCAGTTCTTCCGACGATCCACCTCTTTGCCCATTTTTTAGAGTTAGGCTGTGTCGTCACTGCCAAGATGGGGACAGCCTGAGCCTGTGCTTTACAACAGCACTTCAGAGACCTATGGGTGGGGGTACGGAGACTCCATCCATATTCTATACAGTCTATGGTGTTGACTTTGCAGAGACAGCATTAACTGAGAGAAAATCTGAGCTCCAGGAGAATAAATATTTGAAGGAAACACAGAATGCCTGAGAGAATGAAAGTTTTTTTGCAGTGTACACTCACTGTAACTCGAGATTTAGATGAGTTGTGTGTTGGAGATGGTTAGGCTAGGGTGATTATGGAAGACAACACAAACAATTACAGTAGATGTCATTGTTGACCAATACCAGTCAATAACAATGCTGCACAAGTGGTTTGAGCCCATCATTCTGCCCGTGGAAATGACACCAATTTAAGCTTGTTTAAAGTATATTGCCGGCCCCCTGTAATCGTAATGTGTGTAATGGGTGTTACGCAGTCTCTGCTTCTTGGTAGGTCTTCACAGACTTCATCGGCAGCTCATCTGAAGTGTCCACCGCGTTGTCATAGGCCTGAGAGTCCTCTTCCCCTTGCTGGTGCCTCGCAAAGTTCACAAAGACCTGGAATATCAACGAGGAGAAGAAGGTAAGTGGAGGCAAATGGAAGATAAAGAACTTAGAATACACACTGCTGAAGGGCCTGTGGACATTTCTCCACCCATCTGATTTTTGTGCCCCCCCCCCCACACCCTCTGCCTGGAAAACAAACAGAAATAGCAGCAGAGACAACGGGGAGCATGTGAATGAGTTGCCAGACAAGGGTTATGGAGCATCAAGTAAGCGTCTCGGCTCACACAGTGAATGTCAGTTCGACATCTTTGACCAGCTGAGAAAGAGAATAAAACAATCATTCTTCTCTCTGTGATACCCATTTAATGTCAGACGAAATCAATCCTATGGCGTTCATAAACAGCTGTGTGTGCTTCGTCGTGCCGTAAACACCGCTGTAGTCCTGGCTTTTTTATTCTCTTCGCATTAACTGTCTGTGGTGATAAAGCTACACAAAGATTTTGACTCCCACCGGAATAAAGCAGCAAAAAGGGTCGTAAAAAAATGATAACAGCATTGCTTTTTCCTTCAAATATGTTCAGTGGCTGTGTTAACGTAAAAGGATATGCGAATTAATAGATTGTATTTAAAATCTCAACGCAGGAACAAAAATCATCCAGACAAATTCAAAACAAATACTTTTTCACAGCTACAGAGCCAATAAATGAAATGGGACATAAAGCAAATACCTGTGAAAGAGCATAAATGAAGAGAAATAAACAATAGTGTCCTGTCAGGCTTTTGTTTTTGAGAGGCTCGGCTCATTGAGTCAGGGTAAGAGAGATCTATCCTGTCAGCCTTTGAAGCTTGTTTTTAATTAGCAAATTCATGTAATCGGTTCCCTTAAATTTTAATGTTGATGATAAAGAGAAAAAGTCTAAACTTAGAAAATTCTGTTTTCTGAACAAAGGAAGAGGTTTGCCGATTACTCTGATGTATTGCCGTTGTCACTTCTGTGTAATATCTCGTCTGTGGCTGCAAAAATGTGGACAAGAGGCATTTCTGTTGCTCTTGTAGGCTAAATGAATGTATTTACAGGAAGTCCTGCTCACAGCCTTGACTTTATGGTTCTAGTATTGTTACAGCTGAAAAGTTTAACTTTAAGTAAGTTTCTGTTTTTTTTCAATTTTATTTTATTCCATCCAGGATAACATAGTTGTTTCCTGGAAAACACTGCTCCAAAGTCACTCTTGGAAGCACCCCAGTGCAGACAGAGCCTTACAGACAGCTGAAGCATCCATTATCTGTAACCACTTATCCTATACATGGTCGAGGGGGGGGGGGCACATCCCAGCTAGCATAGGGCAAAGGCAGGGCACAGGGGGCTGACACATAGAGACAGACAACCGTTAAACTCCACACGGAAGAGCCGGGCCAATAGGTTCGAACCCGGAGCCCGCTTGCTGTGCGGCGATAGTGGTGCACAGTTGTGCCCCCCAGCTGAAGCCTGTTGGGAGTTAAAGGCCTTGCTCAAGGGCTGCTTGGTGGTAGTAACGAGCGGTGGCAAATTCCGCTCACTCACTATTCCGACCCAGTTTTTACTAAAGGGGACAGATTGTTTAAACTAGGGATTTCCTGGAAATCCACTTTGGTGCTTCCATTCAGAATCCGTAATGCACAGATTATGGTCCTTAGTTCACTGCAATGTAAAACAGGCTTTTGCCACTTCATGTACTGTACTTCCAAAATCTTTAGCGAAATACAGACAAATACAAATCCACTGAATTGGAATGTGGTACCTACATATGTAAAGCTTCTTGACCTCAAAGCTCGTGGAGCTGCTGGCTATAGTTGGTTGCATTAAAAGTAAAAACGGCAGCAGACTACCTTGTAATGGAGGAACAAGCTATGCCTGCAAAACGCCTGAGGCTAAAGTATGCCTGTGTGTGTGTGTGTGTGTGTGTGTGTGATGTGGGAACATCAGCAGTATGTATCAAGGTCACAGTTGTCAAGGCATCTTATCAGGGGAGAAGGAGTTAGAGGATAAGAATGACAGTAGCAACAAACACAGCCTCCACCCATCTCTCTCGGCCCCTGACCCTGCCACTGGCTGGTATTGGCTTGATGTGCTGAGGCATGCAAAGCATTTCACATTCATAGTCAAGGCTGTGTAGATTTGCAATAGAATTCCTAAGTACTGTTTGTATTTAAGTTTCTGTAAGAATCCTAATATGGTTGAAAAAAGTGCTTAAAAAAAAGTGCAACCACGGTTAATTCATTCCTTTGCCTTGTGTTGCGACTTTCCTCATAATGTCCACTTTCTGTATTTAGCCAACCGCTCATGACCTGAACGTCATGCACCAGTGCTGTTGAGTGGCATTTTCTTAATAACAGATGGACGCAGGCATTAATTACATTGCAGAGGGAACATTTGGCTGCTTATTTGATGCCTGTTGAGGCAGAACAGAGGAGGGGAAGGACGCAAATCACCCAATAAACCTCTCCTGTATATCAAAGGAGCTCTTGCCGAATGCAATATGGCTATTCCTACATACATGTCATCCACACATGTTCATGCTCTGCTGTTTAATACCACACCACCGGCTTGTGTTACACTTTGAGGGTCATAAAGGGTATAAGTGTTCCACTGGACCATTGTCCACACATGAAGCAGCAAATACTTCACAGTCCTACCACACGATCTGCTCCTAAAAGACAGTTTAGAAAGTCACATTTTCCGTTCAAATGCTCCATCTGCTCTGCACTGTCTTGGCCATCAGTGTTAATGCCTGAGCTGCAGGCTGTGTGGATCAATATTAATCGTAGTGCAAGTCTTGTGTTTTACTGTAGGTCAAGGCTCCTCTCTATAAATCACCAGCTGAGAGGTGACAGTCTGGGTCTCCACAGGTTCTCCAGTCCTCCCCCATGTGTTTTAATAACGTGACCTCCTGGTCGAAGTATGATTTATTGACTGCCTCTTATCTGGTAAATATTGACCAGTGCAGAAATGTGGGGCGAGTTGATGGAAAAGTTAAAAGCAAGAAATTGCACAAGGTTGGCGGCGGTAGTACGGCTGAACACCGATGATCTTTGAAGTAAAAGCAGAGTTCTGTTAAAAATCCTTACAAAGAAACCCACCTGACTGCAAACCGGGCGAAGTTAAAGCATTTAGCTTATCCAATAAATCCCTTCTTCATTTCTTAGTGGTAGGCTAATTACCCCCCAAAGGGCATGTTCTACTTTAATAATGCTACAAAAGATGGTTTTATATTGAATTCGGGGTTCTCCGCAAGGAGATCAAGTTGATAACGAAATGCTTAACATTCCTGGAATTCTTTATATCACATAATTTGATTTAATTACAACAGTGCCACACAGCGCAAATAATTGCACGGATGAATTTTGTTTTTTTAAATCAGAGGAGAGCCTCCCCCTCCCCCATGGTGGAGTGGACCAAGAACTGTCTGGACCCATCAGAGGTCATCTCCCACCTGGTCTTCTGCTGCCGAGCTAATGGCGGGCTTGCAAGGCCAGACACACTTGCCTCTTGAGTGGCTGATTGCATCAGTTCCCTGGGGCCATTTGGAAAAAACAAGGTGAAGCCAGTCCGTAACCAGCCAGGGTTCAGTTTATCTCACCAATCAGGGGGTCTAGATAGTGCACTTGGACTGGAATTTAAAAAAACAGGAAGTGGCTGCGGGAGCTTTTTATATTTAAAAAAAAGAGACCTCAGTCCAGATTCTTGATCAATACTGGGAGCTGGCGGCTGAACTAGCTTGGCTACACAAACTCAGTGTAGTCCTCATTGGTCAGTCTGACAGCCTAAATGGGAGAGGACAAAGCGTAGGCAATGATAGATTTTAAATCTTATCCTGAACTGAGCAGACGTGCATTAACTGAGAGCACTTAAAATGCTGCAGGCAGCGACACTTGCCCTAATGATGTGTTAAACTGAGCTGGCACTCCACAGAATTACAGCGGTACAATGAACGTGGCCACGGAGACTCTGCAGTCTAAATTTTTGCCCATGTCAGAAGTGAAATTTGGAGTCTAATTGAGCATCCCCTGCTACTGTACAAGCTGAAATCAGCAAAAAAACGATGTTCTTCTATCAAGAATAATACATTACAGTACATTTGGGGAAAGGGAAATGTGTCAACAACTCTTTGCTGTGAACAAAGCTTTGGAAATAATCAAGTGCACGGTTTGTTTTTGCTCCTTTTGTTCTTTTCATGTCCCCAATGCATAGTCACAATTGTGCAAAGCATGTGTACAAGCATGGACTCCGTGTGGGTAAAGCCTTATTAACATGTTGTGTAAATATATTGCTGCAGTTGCTGATGGTAGTGATGAAGATGGTCGATGAATAAATGTATCGCCGGCTTTGTATAGTACTAACAATGGAATGGAACTATGGATTACTGATCAAAGGAACAGTATATCATCTCTAGAAATGACATAGGTGAATTTGATGCAGAGAGAATGGAGACCTGGGGCATATTACCATCTTCATGCAATTTCTCCATAATAAGTAGACATGTATCTTATCTCAGCCTGTGTATTTATATGCTGTCTATCATCCTTTCACTTACATCGGTCAGTTGAGGAGAAATGTTGAGGTAGTATGTGGGTAGACTCCACATATCTAACTTAAAGCTGAGCCATTATCACTTGGGGGCCTTACCTGATCGAGTGTGGTCTGGGACACGGAGTAGTCCTCCACACCCAGCCTCTGCTGATGGCTGGTGAACTGGCTGAAGATGTTGGCCAAAGCTCCCGGTGTGTACGGGAAATGATACTGCAGCGTGTTGTGATGCTTCTCCTTCAGGACGCTGCCCAGGAAGGACTGCTGGACGAAGTCCTCAACTGGCTTCAATGCAGGAGGAGAGCCACCAACCCTCACAATCACAGTGTAGCCATCACCAAATCTAGAACAAGAAGCCACAGTTAGCCCTTATGAATCACTAGGGGGCGTTTTTGGCTTTTTGACATTATGAGCATTTAGGCTGTGCTTATGCATACTGCACATGGCATTCATTTAGGCAAGGGTGCCCTTTAAAGACACAAGAGCAAGACATCAGGTTAAGCTTTCTGTAACTGCGAACATACATGCCATGCCAGTGGCAAATTGCTCTCGGCTGGTTACCTAAATAATGAACTTTTCTCTCTTCTGTGATCACGGCATGGTGATGAATAATAAGGAGGCGCACTGAAAGGAAGAGACGAGACGGGACGGGAAGCAAAAAAAGACAACTAAATATAATTGCTCTCATATTCTCTGGATGGGGTGAGTTGGAGGAGTGGGTGAGCCACAAGCAGCTAGACTTCAACGGTACGTCGACGCTGCCAGGACATGGATCATTATTTCAACTTTGTCAAGTAATAAAAGGTTTCAACACAATCGTCTGTACCACATGTGAAAGAAAGCATCAATTTGAGTCAAGCAAAACAGCCAAAAGAGACAGAAATTGCTTTTAAGAGTGTACATCAGTGAAGACGCCTTTGCATGATTGAAAGAACTGATTCTAAAACATCTTTTTTTGGTCAGTTTAATTTAATAATGAATTAGGCACGGTAGCCACTTAGCTTCATCTGACAACCAATAAATTACTTGAGATCACTACACAGACAGATCTTGTTCTGGAGAATCCAGTCCCGCGAGCAAGGTAACTACATCCATAATTTTTTTTTGCCTCCTGGCGTTGTGGAGGGCCGACAATCTATGAAAACGCTGAAAAAAAAGAAAGAAAGCCAACCGTCGAAGGAATCTTTAACAAAAACTCCGACATCATTGGTAGTATATGATAAGTCATGCAGAGAGGATATAAAGGCTTGAACCGCCGCAGTTTTGAAAATGTGTCAACATGCTCTACCGGTAGAGCTTTACAACATGAACAACATTCACGGACATAAAATATTGTCACAGATGAAAATACACCACAGCTAAGCTCTAAAGCTAATTAGCATTCTGCATCTTCCCAGTTGTATGCAACGTCTGGTGAGTTCCAAATAAGACTCTATGCCTTGTTATTCTGTCGTTAGCACTCTCATGACCCATTGTTTTCTGCCTAATTAATTCCCTAATGTTGGATTTACTCATGGAAATGTCCATTGTGAGCGAGTACAGAGCAACAAGCAACAAGAGTCAGAGGCTCCCTTAGTGACAATTAGAGATATGGTTACTAAACTGCAGGCCCACACAATCCCTAAGGGAGTGAGAGTGGAAGTGAGGCTCTGTGCTGGTACTGAGAAGAACAATGAATGGACCCCATGGGAAGCAGAGTCCCTTTAGTTAAACACGACTGCTTGAAGTTGAAGAGGCACAGAGCAAAAATAGTGTAAGTTTGCATAAATTGTATATGGGAATGCTTATCTAATATTCACTTTCATTAAGAATGCATGAGTGTCTTTTTTAATGCTACTTTCAGAATCATGCCAAGGCACATTGACTGGCAGGTCTGAACCCTGCTTATCTGGAATTTCCTTGCGTTATGATTGGACGAGCCAGACTACATCTTGTACCCGCTGTCAGAGGTATTTTGACATAAATCTCGAGGCATTTGAACCAGTCAACCTGCTATATAATTATTATATAACCATGCTCAGTGACCTCTGCCTCCTGCCACACGGAGTCAGAAGATTTGCGGTTTGTTGGCATTGTGGTCTTACACCACAGCTAAGGAAATGTTCAAAACAGAAATAACATTGTTTAAATAGACACACATTTAGACATTTAGACAATGTGCAGCAATGACTTCTTCCCATTTCATGATGCAGCTGACCAAATGGCATGCTATCCACAACCACGTCGTGCATCCAGCCTACTATATAGGGAGGTTCTGAGAATTGCGCTTGCACTCTGATCTCATAAGGGGCGGCACACCACGGGTGATCAAAAGCATCCCCATGAACCTCGGAGACATATTATTTAGCACACATCATGTGGATAAAACTATGGGTGCCCTGCATGCACCAGCGTGTTAGCACTTCATTAAGCAGCTGCCCTTTAGACAGCCCTTCAACCGTTCCAAATTATAGTCCACAACTGACCTGAGCCCTGCTCTGCCTTTCTATGAAATACTGTTCTTTTGCGGGGCGTTCATTGTGTACTTAGAGCTTCATCATCTCAAAGTGCAAATGGAAAAGGATGATTATTATCAGAGAGGCAGGGGTCTCTGCAACTCTGGTATTATAGCACAAAACAAATTACACCATCGTAGCACTGCTTTGTCCTTCTTTAGGAAGCTCAGTATTTGTTAATGAAATATGCTCATTTGCCATTTATAGTGGGGAAAAAATTGCAAATCTTTCTTGGCACAGTCCAAAAGACTGTAATTTAGAATTGTTCTTTGAATAAATCTCCTATTAAAATATTGTACATTTTGAGCCCAAATTGGCTTTGTGAGGTACAGAGTAGTCCTGTGTGAAGTTGAGAGTCCTGTAAGTGGAACAAGTCAAATCATTTTAGTGCATGCTGTCAAACCAAAAAATAAAAAAATCATTGTGTGCAAAAATATCTTTGTGCTCTTTATGCTAAATGAAAATCTTAGACCATCTTACATAAGCTGATAGAGCTGTGGACATGAAACACTCAGGCATTAGCGTCTCGCTATCACAGCATTCATTCATAATAAAACCACTGCAACGTCTGTGCTTTACACCATTCAATCAACAGCAATGGGTAAATGGGACAGGATTGTGAATAACTGGGCTACAAACAAAATAAAAAATAATACAGATGACTATTTTCAATCATGCACGGCTGCTTCCACTATGTCAACTCTTATCACCGTGGCTGGACTGTCACAAAACGACAGTATGTCACAACTTGCTTGTCGGCTTTGATTTGCACTCACAGCACCATATTCCATGAAGGTAAATGCTTATCCAGGACACAGCCACATCATTTCTGATGATTTTTTATAAGACTCTCCACAGTCTGTAATCAGACACCACCACCAAACACATCGAAGCCACCCTCACACATCAAGCTTAATTCATCATCCAATCAAGACTATGACCATAATCCTCTTGTGTTTATTATAGCTGCCGGCTCAGGAAATGTGCTTTGTCCAAGGACTGCCAAGCCCAGCCAAGATGCAAAAACATATTTTTTGCAAAAAAAATCCAATAAGGCCAGGATGCATTGTGGCTAAAGGGTTAGCGTTATGGTTTGGGGTGTACGTGAGTAATGAAATGCTGCTCCTCGGTGAAAGTAAAAAGAGCTGATCAATTAGCTTTTCCCTCAGTCTTTCTTCACGCCTACCTTATTTTTATGCCTACCTTTCTTCTCCGTCTGCAGCTACACAAGGGGCGTCAGGCAGCACTTTGGAGGAAATCTCTTTCTTTTTATATTCATCATTTTTACTCTGCCTCTGTATTCAAAACAAAACAAGATCTTTCATCTGATACGCTGCCTGTCTTTACTCTCCTCAAATAAACTCTGCCGGTGTGAGGAAAGTTCGGCGTAGATATCTTTAAAAAACAGCGCAGCAAGCTTGAAACAATTAATAAGCTTTTAGCTGGCGACTGGTTTGATTTGAAAGCTAAAAGCAAGATATTTGCAATTTGAGGTTGAATATAGCGAAGAGGAAGTAATGAATGGATTGTGTCATTGCTGCACCACGTTGTCATAACTAATCCCTTCATATTGTTTTACATTAGGTACATGATACAGCAGCTCAACACAGCATGGCAGAGACACTGTAATAGCTGCGCTGCAGTTCTCTCCTTCATTTTCATTATTCTGCCTCAACCCTCTCCTCCACCCCTGGTCTTCTGGAAAGTCGTTCTTCCATGTAATTTAAAACAAACAACAGCCAGACACAGATAAGGGCATGACGGCAGCAGAAAATAATTCTGCTGCCGTCCTTCATCTAGCGGAGTCGAGAAAGGTCACCCTCGCCACTTGCCAAACCTTGTATTTGTGTCTGCAGGGGGGAGGGCGGAAGTGGGGCAAGAGGTCACAGCGGGGCTTTGGGTGTTCTGATGCTTTGATCAGGCAGGAAGTCATCCAAAAAAAAAACTCCCTTAGTTCCTGGAGGGGGAGCTAACAGAGGCTCCGCAGGAAGTATGAGGAGAGTTGGGTGGATGAGTTATCTTTGTCCAATCAGAGAATTGTTATTATAGCGTTGATTCATCTAAAATGAACGTGTGGAAACTAATGACGGTCATGTGCTTGCTAACTGGGAGCCTATGACGATGTAATAAGCTGGAGTTTTCAGTGCAAGTTATCATTGTGGTTGGAATGTGTGCTTTAAATCAGGGCCTTCGAGTAATCATGAGGTGAGAAGTGACTTAGAATGTAACTTCATTCATTAATTGACTTTGACCTTGGATAGTAGTTTTGCAGAAGTAGCCGTAGTAGTGGTTAGAGGCAGTCGACAGCTTCAGATAAAAGGTAGATTGGACCTGGAGTGAAGATTATTGTGTTGAAATGAAACTGTTAAAGCTGTCCTTCCTGGTAGTTTTCAGAGGTGACAGTCTGCTTTTATCTTCAAGACAAATTTATGTATTTGTATATTGTGTTTTAAAAAGTAATTTCACAGGAAGGCCATCATCTGCCCTGTGCAATTACTAATACAGGATTTTCAAACATGCATAAGTCACCCAATATAAATCATCCATGTAGCAATGTATGCAAGCTTGCCTTGTAAGCACAAACATCAGCTATGATGAAACTGATGCGAATACAAGAACTATTCTCACCAGGTATCAAGGATATTATATATATATATATATATATATATATATATATATACTCTCAGATATGTACAGTACATATACAGTATACAGTGCACCATCTGTGTATGTCAATGTTCTAGCAGTCTTAATTACACCTACTTTGCTGATGCGTCATAAACCGTAAAGAGTATTATTTTGTCATCCATCTCCGCCGGTGACACACACTTAAAAGCCATAAACTATTTAGTTAATGGCAAACCTGCAGAGCTGATGCAGAGTGAGTGGGAAGGAGTTTATTCGACAACTCAATGTCAACTTCAGGGGATTGATCCAAACTTTTAGACACCACTCTTGTAAAAAAAACTCTCCAGTGCCCACACCGCATTACCTTAATGCACTTAAGCCACTTTTACCCTCCACTTTTATATCATGACGTGCTTTAAGGAAGGAGGAAATAAGACTCCAAGCTGTGGTGCGTGCTTACTCCAGGTACTTTATGAAGAGGGGATATGAATGATATCAATCAGGGAAAAATACGGCATCGGCTAGCGGGTGTCCTTTCTAACTGACAAGATTATAGGGGATCTTTGAAGCTGCTTTTATTGGTTCCTCCACTTCATTTGGGTTTACTTAACACCTGGGAGCTTTCATACCAGCACGCTGCTGTACTAAAGCACTATTTACAGCCTCTCACACATTTCTTTTACTTATTTATTTCCCCCCCTTCTCTGTCAGCCTTTCATAAATTCCTAGAAGTGTGACTGAGTTGAGGGATGGAGGAGGATGTTGAGGAATGGAGGAGGGTGTTTTTAACAGCCATGGAGGACGACAATGAAGGGGCTTTTTAAAATGGCCGCCCTGATGTTCAGAATTCACCGCCCCAAACCAATTCTTCAGCCCCTCTCACACGCTGACCACCTCTTCAGCAGTTTAAATGGACTATTTGGGCTCATTTGGGGGTGTGATTGATATGCAGAGGCGGGGTTGTTAAAGTAGCAGAAGGGCATCTCAGTGATAAAGACAGGGTCACCACTGAACTAAAGGGGGCAGCACTAACAAGCACTTGGATGGCTGGGTTGGAAGCCTTGCCACCTGAGAGTAGCAGAGGGAGGAATAAATAAGGGTAATATGGTGAGAGGTTTTTGAAGGAGAGGAGGCGATCAGGGGAGTGAGGGCTGCGAATGTGGGAGAGTGAGCAATAGGGGGTCAAAATGTGAGAGCTTCCCCCGCGGTGAGATTCTGCACTCCTTTCAGGGGCCTGTGATGAAAAAGAGATGGAGACGTTGGGGGCAGGGGGAAGAAGCGGCACCCCCCCCCCCCCGCCTCGCAGGTCAACCGCTCACGGCGTGTGACGATGGCGTACACCACCTGCCTCCATCGGCGTGCTTCCCCTCTCTACTTCAACCCCGCTGTTGGATGGAACTCTTCCCATCTGCAAGCTGGCAACAGCTTGTGCATTTGTGAGAAGCAGCCCTCACATCTCACATCATGGAGTCAGATATGAGGACAAACACAAAATTTTACCCTGCAAAGCTGGATTGATGAGGCTCACAACGACTTAAATGATGGTGGATCACACGCTAAACCAGTTGTGTGTGTGTGTGTGTGTGTGTGATGGAGGGGCAACATGGCAGCACAAACATGTGGCGGGATAGTGACGAGAAAAGAAAACAAACGGAAGACGGCCCTTAATTGCCTTTTCAGTCATTAACAGGGTCCCACACCTCATGAAACATTAATTACACCAAGCGCTGAGGAGATAGGGACGCTTAATTAGAAATTATTCACTGCGTGGCAAGAACTGAGCGATAGCATTTCAGCAGCATGCAAATTGTCCGCGTGAGATCTAAAATAAGCACGGCAAAATCTGTGTAGACGTCATGCTTATCTGGCTTCCTCTCACTGTCTTATGAAGTGCGATTCCCTTTTACCCGATAGCATGTCAAGTGAAGTAGGACATGTATAAACCTAATGTTCTCCTCCCCCCCCCCTCGCTCCAATGGCTCTTACCTATCCCATACCTCCTGCGTGGTTCGTAAATTATTCACACCACCCTGCTCTTCCCCCTACAGACAGGATGTAATTGACACAGTGGATCTGTCAATTACCCTAACATCTGGGATGGACTGATTGGTATATCGCTCTCCCACTTTAGCCCGTCGTCTCTCAAATGTCCCTCCTTCTCACTCTTTTTTAGCCCCATCCACAAATCTACCTCTTCTCTTTCCAAAGTGAGAGAGTGGTCAGTGATATGACGTTAATGCTTTTGATGTGAAACACCCTTGACACTGTTGTCCCACCCCTCCTTGTTGTTCCAGGCATTTCCCTTAATCCCCGGCACAATTTTAAGAATGGTCTGCTCCTCCCCTCATCCCAGGTGTATTGATCTTTCTCTCCACCCAACGATTGCCACCACATCTTCCTGTTGTGTGTGTGAAATGTCCTTCCTCTTACAAGATCGCACAATGGAGTGGTAATAATGTCACCAGACTGTACCTAAGGTAATGGATCGGTCTCGCTGCTACATGCAGGGCTTGGGACATAAGTGCTGGCCTTGGGAAATGTCAGATGAATATCAGAGAGGAGGACCGAGTGCCGCGAGTTAGGGGCAGCGAATATCTGTTATGGAAACGTAACAACACCCATTAAGAGACATGCACAAAGCCTATTAAGGATGTGCATAATGACAGGGATGGTGGAAATAGATTTTATGGGTCTGTAGAGGAACACATGTGAAATTGAGATAATGGTGAAAGACTTGGGACACTAACCTGAGGCCCACAGACCTGCCTGTCTGCCTCACATATGGATCTTTTCATGTAAAATCAATGCAATCATGTTGATAAGTCTCTGCGAAAAGTGGACCAAAATATATGGGCATACAGAATATGTGGGATTATTCAGATGAAGCTTCATGGGAAGTATAATAATGGATAATAACCGCCTCATGAAACTTTACAATCACAAACTACATATCTAGGGCATTAAGAGGGTGTATGTCTTTTCTAGGTATATTGACAATAAGGAGATTTCTAAGCAATTTCCAGAACAGAAGTGCACACCATAAAATTAATCTTCAGGTTCCCAACATTCAGATGATGTACATCACTTCTATGTGGCATATACCTCCCCCTAAAGATCCCCTGTCTCCTCCTAAATGGTAAATAGGGATGGCATAGAAGAGGTTAATCCGTACAAAACCAAAGTGTAAAAACATGCCAGGCAAGCAGTTTTCAGTCCTTATTCAAAGATATTTGTTTCTGCTTGGCAAGAAAGAAAATGTGTATATATTAAAAATGTTGAAGTATTCCTTTAATAACGATGACATTGTGAAGTTTCCGCGAAACTGCAAAACTTTTTGATACATTCTTTGTGTATCTCCCACAGAGTCCTTCTCAGCTGCAGTAATAAATGATGAAAGAAGAAAATGCATTATTTCCTTTCTCTTCCACGAAAAACCTGGGTCATTTTCTTTTTATTACTAATATACATGGCCTTACATACAGTATAAACAGAACGCCTCAGTCTGACACAGGGATTTCTTTCATCTCAATTCAATGTGCTTTAAAGATTTTTTTTTAATCTTTTTATTCTGCTTTGTCACAAACCCAGTCGTAAAAGAAGGACACTTACCTGCTCTTCAGATGCTGGATGCTTCCGAGGCATTTGAAGCGACCGTTGACCATGATGGCCATGCGTGTGCACAGTGCTTCACACTCCTCCATACTATTGAAAGAAAAGGGGTGTTATTATTGAGAAGCAGCAAGAATATGAGATGCTGGAGTCTCCTGCTTACCAGATGAAACTGGTCTTCTTAGTTTCATCGATTTCTGTAATATCTGTCCTCATTCAAGCTCTAAAATGTTATACATTTAAGGCTAGAACATTTATCGCAATTTTAGACATCGCACATTATTTTGCTGAAAAATATCTCTACTGATTCACTGAGACCCTTTCTTCTAATTTACAGTTGAAGTTTGGATTAGAGCATTTTTACACGTCTACTTTGACACCTTAAATGGACGACAAATTTAGTAATTAGAGGGATAGGAAGGGACCATCTGTAGTTCTTATTATCTCTTTTTTTTGTCTTTCGGCTATGGGCTGGAGCCATTTGTAGTTGAGGCAAAACCTGTGAAGCCTTTCTGAAGAATGGTCCAATTAGGATTGTGACTCTGTAAAACCTGGTGAATCTGCCACTTAACAAAACACAACCACCTGGTCATGCCATGGACGATTGGATGCGGCTCAGCCACATTGCCTTGGAGGACAACAAATGCTTTCATTTCTCCATGAAGGGAAAACATGAAATAAAACAAATAAACAACAGCAGAGATTATTCAGATGCACACTGCTGGGGGCACAAATGATTTAAAAACCTAGGCTAATTGGGAAATAGTAAAATGAATAGGCATGTTAATTGTTAAATCTTCCATATCGACTAGGGCCATCAAGTTTTAAGTTCCTTAAAAATGTCGGCATTTCATCTTTTTCTCCTCACTCTAAACCGTGCCAGAAACTGGCCAACACAGTGCAAGAAAATATTGGGACTAACTTTGCTCCAGGAAGTCTTGGATAATGAAAAGACTCCAGCAAGGATATTGACAGATTCTCTATTTAATAAGGGGGAAAAAAGCTCCAGTCAGTCAATATGCCCTGATGCTTCATGAAAGCTTTATAGCAGCTTTATATGTTTCTGGCAGGCAACACTAACTGCCACACAGAAAACAACTAAAGTCTAACTTAATCAATTTCTAACTACAATATTTGCAGCTCAGGTTCATTTTACGGTTCGGTTGCTCTGCTATCCCTGGTGAAGAATCGAAATATTTTCCTTTTTATGTTTTGTGGGTGAACCAGTAGATGAAGAGTGACGTTGCACCTGTGTGATGTGAGAATGACTGATCGTCCCTCTCTGATGACGCTTAGGAGGCAGTCCCACAGGAAGCGCCGAGCTTTGGGGTCCATCCCAGTTGTTGGTTCATCCTGTAATGAATGTAAACTCTTTACTTTAACAGATGGTTTTTTAAAATGTGCGTGTTTGAACAGACACAAAGACGGGAAAGGAAACACCTGAACAGATGCGTGGAGGCATCTCAACCCAGCTGAAAAATAATGGATTTTTAGACTGACGTGTAAGACAGTGCTCTCCAACACCATCAACAAAACATCAAAGGGGGAAACTTTTGAAGAAGAATTGTGTTCAATTTGTCCAATGTCAGCCAAGGTGCATTGAAGCTGTTCTGGCAGCTCGTTCTGACCTGAGACATTAATAAGACACTTGCTTTGTCACTCGTATGTGCGTGTTTACATACACATAAGAGATAGAAGTGTGATGAAAAATACACATATAAATCCACACATATGGTAAAGTCTGGGAGAATTCTGAGTCTACCCGTGTACACATAATGGACACACACACACACACACACACACACACACACACACACACACAGAGTCTCAGTGACTTGCTGTTTCTTTTTCCTCAGGGCTAGTCTGTCCATGCATGATTAGAGAGTGACAGTACTCAGTCCATTGGCTGGTTTCGTTCCAGGCCTGGTTCTCTGTCACTAGCAGAATCCTACAAATCCCATGGGGTATTTCCATCACCGTGCCCAATGTGTCCCTGTGCAAACCCTACGTGGCACAGCCTCAAGGCCGCCTCGACTCCCTGGGCTAGCACACAATACTGAAACTGACACAGACAACACATTATCCCACCGCCTCAAAGTGAAGGCTAGCCTGGCTCAGGTGAGTAAATACGTAGGTTTGGAATCGTGCAGCCCGATGGGCTAGCACTGAGCCAAAAAGGAGACATGGTTGGAAAGATTATTCTGTAAATGTAATTCATTATGGATTACTCATTACCTGACTAAAATTGTTATTAGCAGCATAATCTGATGGGTTACTTTGAATCACGCAAAGTAAAGCATTTATTACAGTTTACAGGTAGCAAATCCAACAGCAATAATAAGACATATTGCAAGATATCTGTGCGCATGAAATAATATTAAAATCTATTGGATTGGGACAAGGGATAACAAGTAGAAATTGCAAAAACCCTTGATGGAAATGTGTACTTTGATTACAGGAAACCCCCCTGGAGAGATTTAAGGTCAGTACGTTTCTCCCTCATAACTACACAGACATAACTTCCTAATGCACATTAAAGCTGCTTAATCGAAGGCATGTGACGCAGTGTATTCTGAGTCACGCCTTATTTAATCTTCCATCAGTGAGAAAAGGCTTCTGCTCTCACTTTAAAGTCCTGATGAATTGGAATGTAATACGTGCAAATACTGTTCAGTGTGCTCTGCGTTTTTTAATTGGTTCTCTCTTGAAAAGAAATAATTAAAAGATGACCAGTGAGTGACCCCTGAAAAGTACACCCCCCCCCCCCCCCCCCCCACACAAGTAATATACTTGTAATCCTTGGGGATATTCAGTAAGGAGTTACCAGATTGATCCAAAACTTGTTTTTTAGCTACTCATTTCTAAAAGCATAGATTATCCCGAATTCCTGTTCTTCATCATCTCCTTACTGCGAGTCCAGTCTTTGTGTGCTTGTTAAGAGAAACATTGATCTTCTCTAATCCACAACATCTGCACAGCATCAATATTAATTTAAAGTATTACACTTTTAAGTCTCAATAAAACAGCTGAGTATCACATTTTTTTTACCATGTACAACGCTTCAATAAAGATGTATCTCACCAGGAAGATGACTTGAGGACAACCGATCAGGGCTATCGCTGTAGACAGTTTGCGTTTGTTCCCACCACTGTAGGTTCCTGCCGACTTGTTGGAATATTTGACCAGCCCCAATTTCTGGATCCCCCACTCGGCCACCTTTTTAAGAGAGAAATCAGAATGATCAAACCTATTGTGGTGTCTGGAAGAGTGTTCACATACAGAAACAGACGTTTCTCTTTACTGATCATACAAATGTGGCCACACAAGGGCTGAATTTGGATCGAGAAAAAAATCCCATCACAATGGGCCACAGTCAAATGAAGAGTTATGCTCGCAGTGCAGAATTAGGTCCCTTTTGCAGTGCAGCTTTACGAGATCAAAGCCCTGGCGCCGGGTCTGAGGCCTATGGCCGCCGCCAGCCTATTCCTCTTTTGATCTTCTTGTTGTAGAGGAGGGCGGTGCGAAAAGAGTGCAGAGAGGCCGCATAGGGCCGGCCACACCACTGGGCATGGTGAATAATGTAGAGCCATAACCCACAGCTGCTGCTTTTCCACCACCGGCCATTTTTCATTATGTATGGCTTCTCCCATTGAGGTTTTCTATCACTTCGACATCAGCTCGCCCTACATGTATTTTAATGGTAAAAATAGAACAAAAAACATTCTGGAAGCAAATAAACATGTATTAAAAGTAGCAGACCGTCTGTATATATTTTCTTTCTGAAATATGTACGATTCTATATTTGCTAATTATTTTAAAAACATAGGGCTTCACCGCCCCAGCCATTAGTAGAACAATGCCTTACACCGTTTCAAATGTGACAGGACTAGAGGTGTGACAGGATGTAATGGTTACCATGGTGACCTCTTTTTCTGGTACCCCTCGTAACCTGGCGTAAAACTCAAGATGCTCTCGTCCAGTCAGCAGTTCATCAATAGCGTCAAACTGGGGACAATAGCCCATGTGCTGGTGCACGTCCCTCATTTCTGTTCGTATGCTGGGGAAGAGAATATAATTAGAGATTTGACAATGGATGTCGTTAATGTTTGAGATCACAGATCCAACGGTTGTATCATAGTGAGAAGGCCAAAAAGCATACATGTCATCTATGTTGCCTATTTAATTTCAAAGAGAACTGAGATTAAAATTGATTTGCTTGCCGAGTGTGTTTTACCGAGCAAAAGAGTGGTTCATTTTACATTCTGTTATCGATCTGTCTACTTGTGGTCTCAAGTCAGCGTCCCAAAAGCAAAAAAGCAAACTAACTAAAAACTACTAACAAACAAACCAAAAACCTAGAGACCATCTTGCTATGGGATCAAACTAGCCTCAACGCCAAATCAGGCAAACAAAAACAGCTGTTTGGCTAAAAGCATAGCAGCTAAATTTGACATCATTTCGTTTTGAAAGCTATGGCTTCATAATTTGGATTTGAACATATGAACGTAGAAGAAAAACAATAATGGTAAATGTGGCTGAGAGGCCACTGAACACACACAGCAACACCCATTGAAAAAGTGTTAAAATGTATTCAACACAATCACAACCGAGGTAGTCCACTGCTGCCATCGGCTTGTTTTCTATAACCAGAGACTGCCAATGTTATACCGGCAAGCTTTTGTCTTTTGCATTCTACAGACAGTAACACACCAGGTGGTGAGGAGATGGAGAGTAACTATTCCTTGTGATAAGAGAAACAGTTGTCAGGAGAGAAAGAACTTCCATTGAAAAGATGCTGCTTCTTCTCTTCTGCCGATCATTTTTCGTGAGAGCTGAAAACAGAAGAGTGGGCGTACTCACATCTGGTTTTTAAACTCTTTTCAGTTTTTGTTTCCCCTAAAGATCTCTGGATGTTTCTTTGATCCCCGTTACCCACATTCATCAACGTTGTTGTTAGGCCTTGCTTTATTCAGCTCTCTTTCTTTGTTGAACACAAAGTCAATTACCAGATGTATAAATGAACAACTAGCAACCGTTGTGATGCAAAACCAACCGCAGCCTACACACAATGCATGCTCGGATGTGCAGCCTTAGAGATGCAGGCCGAGGCAAAGAAAACACCGTTGTTTCTTCCTAAAAATAAGGAAGAGCAAGCCTCCCTTCGCTCAAGTGCTTGACTCTCATATTGCTGGTGTCAAGGTGCTTTTTTTTTTTTTGGCATGTACAAAGATTTCTTATGACTGACTCTGTGAGGCAGAGACAAAAACACAGCAAGGTAGAGGGCGAGGACGTGAAAAGGAATGAAATATGTGCAAGAGGCAGAACGAAAGCGAGAGCAGAATTTTCAGCATTTCTGAGAATATCGCAGTGAGATGACATGAGAGAACCAAAGTTGAAAAGGCAGAGATGGCAAAATGTATAAAAGATATCAAAACTAGCAAGAAAAAAAACAAGGAGCAAGAATGAGAGAGAGAGAGAGAGAGAGAGAGAGGGAGAAATGGTGTGGAGCTATGAAAAAAACATCCACCTCCGTTCGATCCCCATATGAGCAGCCATCTTGGGTGGCTAATTATGATGAGTTACTCGGTGCGCTAGTGGGAGTTAGCGCCTCACCTGTATCCATTTAGGAAGGCCTCTCCACTGGAGACTGGGATGTCTCCCGTCAGCATCTTGAACGTGGTGGTTTTCCCAGCCCCGTTGATTCCCAGCAAGCCGAAACACTGACGGAGACAATGACGAGACTTCACGCGGTGTTTTGTAGATACAAGCCTCATTAGAAAACAAACAGCAGACAATGGTGCCGGATGACATTTCAAATACTCTGTATGGAGATGAGTTTTCTTTTGAATAAACACTGCCCATTAACACCTTTAATGAAGTGTATCTATGTACTGCCAATATGTGTTCACAACATACAGAATAATTGAAACTACAATTTATAGAGTATGAACGACTGGTTCAATGTTTAGCAAAAATAACAAATTGATGTCCTGATTTCTGTACATAAACTAAATCAACATGGCAGGCACACAGGAATTAATACTGTAAAAAAAAAAAACAGCCCACCCACAACTTCCTGCCTCTGTAAATTTCGACAACAAACACTATTATCCCGCTCTATCTTTTGTCCCTGATACTGCTGATTTTGACTTCCCCCTGGAGGGAATGCGGCAGGAAGTTGTCTCTATGCAGCCCCGCGGTCATGTGACCCGCCTTAGGTGCTCTAGCTCCGGCATCAATATTTGATTTCTGTCATTCATTGATCCCTGCTTGTTTGTGACCTGTGCCTGTGAATGCATATAGCTGAGGACTAAGCTTGATGTAAATAATGCATGGAAATGCAGTGTGTGATCAGTAGAGCCCTGTGAATCACAATACTCCACTGGCATTTACATTGGGCTTTGAGTAAACAGTTGGCCGGGAGGATTGATACCGCTGGAAAGTCCAACGAGCACGACCGCCTGTCAGCATTTGAGATTATGTTTAAATGAAGCTTCCAGCGGTGCAGTGTATGGGTATGTGTAATGTATAACATGTCGTAATGAGTAAGGATGCTTTACATTGACAGTACATCAATTTCACAGAAAGGTTCTGAAGTCAAAAACTGTGTAAAAGTTTACTTTGTTGTATTTGGTGGATTTTTGTTTCCCACTGCTAATTTGGCAGTGTTCTGAACTAAATGTCACTGGGTCCTCATTCCTTCGTTTGATAGACCCCGTTGCTCTGGCAATGCTCTTCTACGAGCCCGCTTGTGCGGTTTTTAGCACACACATGCTTGGCAGTAATACAATGGCAGAAAACAAACCCGATAAGGAGATTAGTGTTTCTCCTAATGCCTTCTCTGAGCAGCGTTTGGAAGATATTTCGATTCCACTCAGTAAAAAGGCAAGACGGAGCCAAACAACAACTCAAATCTTCAAGTAAATAACTGGAAAACTGTAAATCAAAGCCCAGACAGAGTATATCTGCTCATTGCTCCCTGCTCTCATGTGTCGACATTTTGTAAATATTATCATCCATTTCAAATTGTACTGATTTGTTGCTGGTGAATTTTGAAAGTGAATCAAATGTTTAGGAGCTAGAAAGTCATCTTACATGGACACAAATCAAACAGACTATAGGCATGAAGAAGTGTGATTCAGCAGCATTTGGCTCACCTCTGCGGCGGGTACTCCCACACATAGCCTGTCCACAGCAGGGGTGCCCTTCCGAGAGTATACCTGCAGGGAGCAGACAATAAAATGAATCAACCAGCCAGCCAGAGAAAGAGAAGGCAGGGGGGCAGGGACGGGTGGGGAGCGGACAGTGAGGAAGACAACAAGAGAGGATAGCATGACGAAATATGGAGCGATAGCCCAGAGCAGCAGGGAAGAGCAGAGATGGAAGGAGCAGGTGGGAAAAGCAGAAGGGAGAGAGACAGAGAAAGTGGAGGAAAAGAAATGATCAAGAAGGGATCATTTGCAACATTTAGAGCCATCCAGATGGGAAAAGGTAGTAAAAAGAAAAGTTAGACACTTCCACAAGAGGGGAGAAGAGGAGGACATGAACATTAGTATTTGTGACTGCATCACAGTATTCATGAGGAAATCTGTCTCCACTTTGAGTACCACTTCAGTACCCTCAATAACCTTCAGCACACTCACAAGTCTCCCAATATTCTATGTATGGACACCAGCTTTACTGCAGCTGCATTTAGTGGTGTCAATATACTGAGATGACTTTGGCGAAAAAGGAATGTTGTCCTTAATCCGAAAAGTACTTAAAGAAATCTATTACACATGCTATAAGTCTACAGCCAAACCAGGGACAGTGTAAGGTCGTGATGTTAAACTTAAACAGCTGCCTGTCGCTGCTGGAAATGCCGCTGATATGAGCGTAAAACTGAGAGAAAGTTACGGGCAGTGAAGCCAACACGATGAGCTTAATGAAGCTAAACCGCTCTGCACACTGCACCCTTTATCTATATGAAAATATTGAAGATTGCAGCTATGATAACTAATACATTTAACATACTGTTGTTAAGCTTGTAATTCCAAGATAACATGAGCATATTAGCATGCTATGTTAGCATTAATCACAAAAAACAAAAGAGGCTGATGGGACTTTTAGCTAGATATCATGTTATAAACTAAAGTAATTTTGAGCTGTTGGTGTTGCTACAGTACATGAAGTTAGTTAATCTCATCAGTCATTAAGACGCAGCGCCTAGTGACCATGAATATGTAAACCAAATTCCATGGTAATCCAAACGGAAAGACCACATGGGATGCAGAATCCCATCTCTCAGGGGAGCAAAACGTCTCACATTCTGATTGTAAGTCAGTATCCTGTTAAGATCATGTAGCGGCACTGGAAACGAGAAGGTGACTGATGTTGTACCGCATCACACCATGAACACTTTCTATGCAGCATCCACATCCTCCCCCCGCTGACCAGCCTCATCCATGCACATTTGCATTCAAGTCTGCATCATCTACCAGAGGTGGTAAAGAAACTCCCACTTGAAGAGAACATGATTTCTACATTCTTTTTCTACAATCTTAGGAAAAATTCAGCAGTCGAACATTCAACACAATGAGGTATTTAATGCACGAGGTATTTTTCCACATCCGAGACTACCAGTATGTTAGGGTTTGACATGTTTTCAAAGTGGTTTGAAAGCAGCGTTGTCTTACTCTAGTGCGAAAAAAGACAAGACAAGGCCTTTGTTGTTGTTGCTGACTGTGACAGTCAAGACATTTAAAATTCTAAATCAAGGACAGCACTATGCCCCTTTGGGTTATGAAAGAGTGACTACTGTTGGCTGTTTCTCGATGAGTGCTACGCGTGTTTACAAGCGCGCACTGTATGCGAGTGTCAAGAGACTCAAAACGGTGGATGTTAAAACAGAAAAAGTGACAACATACATTTCCAAGTATGAAGGATACGTTTCCTGTATAGAATCTTTAGACCATGTTATCCACCATTTAAAAACACTCCATTCAGAATGCTACCGGGCAAAAGTAAATTTAGAACTGCCACTTCAAACCTGACAAACAATGACATTGCATATATTACACAGTTGGCACATCAAACGCATCAGATAAAAGCAGGAGTTGCATAGATCCACCATTCTTCCAGTGCCATCTGGCAGCTGCACTCAGTACTTATCAACCTGGATTACGCGCACTACTTTTTAGTGACAGTTTGCAGTGCTAAAGCCACATCAAAGCAGCATATACATGTATGGAGGAAGGCAATTAAAGGATAATTCCCCTCTGACTCGAGCACCACAGCAGCTGTCATGATAAGCGGGCTGACGTCTAATCAGATGAGACAGTTGAGAGGATGTGATGCCGGCAGTTTTGGAAACCTAAAATATAGATTTACATTAGAAAATCACAAGCTTCAAGCGCCGAATGCTTCAGCTCAGGTAGTAAACCCCGACGCTGACATTGCTTTATTCAAAAAGAACCCTCCAAGGTCTATTCATTCACAGCAGTGTAAGGTGTGTATACGTTTTTTGGGCTAATGTACCCCCACAGCCCTACAAGATGAGCTCATGTACCCCTTCACAAACACCATCTGCCATCTTCCATTTTCCTTATCACTTCAACCATTACTTTTAACTATTTATTCTAACCCTTCTTTTCTCTCTCTCTCACTAGATTACATAATTACTTCTCTTTATAGTTAATATTTTGATATTATGGACAAGAAAAAAGACCAGTATCCACTCAAAAAACGTTGTTTTTTAACACATATATACATCGATATTTTGTCCCACAAAGGCAGCCTTTATGTCAGCATACAACACACAGCTCTTGTCAAACGAGTCTCATCCAAACCTTTTATGTGCCCAGAGTAAATATAATCACATGAGCTGCACCTTGGAATACTTGAAGTATACTTGAAGTATTCCAAGGTGCAACTCATCACTCTTTTGTCTCCTGAACTCAAACAGCTGTCACGAGGTACTGTAAAACTTCCTCTGTCAACTTAGTGAGTGACCGGAAGGTTAAAGCGACAGCACTGGGCCTGGAAAATGCTCACAGACGGACACACTTCCATTACGGTCTCCATCGATTACAGTGCCGACGCTAATGCAGCAGCTAAGTGGAGGCTAGCAGGTGGGGACGCCTTGCAAAATGCTCCTGTTTAGAGCAGCAGGAAAAGGATGGGGAGGAGCAGGAATCTGACATATGATTGATGGGCTGTCGATCGCTTCAGAGGCATGCTTAGATTTATGACAGGGCTCAGCCTGTGGCACATGGCCACCAAAGCCAATGCGCTCATTGATCAATTTGTTATCTACATCCCAAATGGATGGGGCACAGCTGTGGTGGGAGTCAATGAGGGCACTGCAGGAAGAATCCTGATGCCTTCTGCCACTGTACTGCTGTTTCTGTGCGGTGACGGGCCACTGAGTCTCATCTCAGTGAAATATTGTCAACAGCAGACAATCAAATCTTGTTCTTAACATTTCGGCACCGTTTTAAGCTGTATTTACAGAGGAGATTTTAGTGTTTTCACAAGTTTGCAGAACATTAAAAAGTTCTCTCGACAGGTTTTTGCTGGTAAAGGAACCTTCCGCACCACACGGTTTCACCTTGCGAGATGATTTGTAAGACATTACCCATCCAACTGATTTACCCAGCGCTTGTTCGGTAATTACCCTAGGGAGTGTGAAGCACGTCTGTGTCCGTGAGCAACGAGTGAAAGATTAAGTATAGTGAGACAGCAGAGACCGAGGGAGTCGAGGAGCGAAGAAGGGTGGTAAGAAGCAAAAGGCTGTTAAGATCGCCCAGCTGTCGGCACTGGAGCTGCAAAGCAGGCTGCTGCGGTGACACTTCCTGCTGCCATGCCCCCCGCAGGGAAGAAACATCTGCCGATGGATGAAGCGTTAATCTCGGCTGTGTTGAGGCGCGCACCACCACGGCGTGCTTGACTTCACCTGCCGCGATGTGGGAAGGGCCAGAGCTGTATACGAGTGCGGACCTTTACACCCATAAAATGCAATCTTGTTTAGTTCTGATGCTCACTCATGATGTTTGTGAATGTTCACAGCTGCACAGTTGCAGTTTCTCATTTGCCTTGCAAACTGAATTATGCAGGTGCAAGGAAAATAAATACCTTCAAAAGCTACTCCCAACATTCACATGCACGGATAAAGTGGATTACGGCCATTTAAGCAGTCTAGGTTACTACTGTATCATGTCAGAAAATAACAAAGTAAGGGCTGAACAGAGAAGTTAATTACAAGAGAAAAATAACACTGTGTTGTTTGCCATGCTCATAAAATATGTGCAGTGAAAAGCAAAGTGGCATACTGCGCTAGCGAGTATTTGTCATGAAGAATAAAAATTAGAACAAGAGTAAAAGTAAGAATGAAAAAAACCCAGAAAGGATGAAATAGAAAGAGAAGATAAAGGAAATGTGTGGAGGTGGGCTGTTGAATTTTCTGGTACCTAAAAAAATGTGAAATGTACATATATCACATGACTTTGTACATTGTGGCATCACCAGGGGCCAGGTGGTAGATGGGTGCTACCTCCTCTTTAATGATCAGCAGCCACACCACAAGATGGCCGCCGATGCACCTACAGCTCCCAGAAGGCCTCACCGCTCACCCAGGTGTGGGTGTTTAAACCACCTGATTGAGGCAGGACTTAAGAGCTGCAGGAGGAGAGGAGAGGGGGAAGAGAGCACCACGGCTGGAAGGAGAGCCGAGGACTAACCTGGACTGGAGAACGTCGTAAAGAAAAGTACCGAGCCAGACTGAGGAGGATTGAAAGTCTGAATATACAATACCTTAGTGAGGTCGCAGATCCTCAGAAGGTCTTTCTGGGCCTTGCCTTCATACAAGCGCTTGCGTTCCCGAGCGACATCGACATCCTCCTCCTCTGCAGGTAATGGTTTTCCTGAAATAAGCCTGGCAGAAAGAAGTCAACCACAGTTGGCATAACACCGTTTATTAAAATGAACATGACCTCGCATGACAAATTATCTCGGTCAAAATTTAAGCTCGATGAAACGATCTCAGCAATTTTCATAGATAGTACAAGCCAAAGGCATTAGTTTCCATGGCAATCTCACTTTTGGAGTAAGTAAACACAAAAAAAAAAGTCGGGTTGTATTTTCCAAACAGTTTCTCAATGCAGCAGATGTTTTAGATGAATATGAAGTCCATTAGTAATTCAAAATGGAGAGAATAAGGTGAGGGATTGTTTTATCTCACTGACACAAATACTGGATTGAAAACACGGAACTATAACAGCAAGAAACATCAGTCTAGTGTACGGAACTTTTCTCGGCCAGTTTTGAACTACTTTAATCTGAAATACCAGACTTTTACCTTGGTTTGCAGAAAAACTTGTACTGGATGAGGATTGTGATGGAAAACATGACGACTCCCTGGATGGACATGGCGCAAAGGTTCTTTCCCACCATATCCCAGCTCAGTGGGTCCTTGAAACGATCTTCCCCTGTAGCAAGATGAAGGAAAAAAAAAAAAAAGTCAATACACACAGAAAATGGGAGGTAATTAAATGCTTTATTGCTGTGTGTCAATTCATGTTAATATCCAGCCCTTATCTACAAGCTCGGAGTATGATTTAGCAGACATGTCTTCAAAAAAGGAATAAGCAGATGTGTGTTTTCTTTCATGGACAGCCAAATATGTCTTTGTCAAAAGTTAGAGGAGCGCTGGCATTTGTCAGGTCTTTGAAGTGTTTTTGAGACATATTCATTGCCAAAAGCCAGCTGTTTAAAATGCCACTTAGCCTTAAAAAATAAAATGTAAAAAAGTGCTGTCATGTGCGGAAATCAATGATATCCTGTACTTTTCATGTTTTTTTTGGGTAATGAACCCTCAAGTAAACCGATGACACCCCCCCCCCCCCCCCCACTCTGATCATTTTAAATTCTGCTCTCTGTCTTTCCTCCTTCTCTCAGATTCTACAACCCTTGAGCCCGAGGGGGCAGAGTAAGTCGACAAGTAAAACGAAAGTACTTGCAGTCTCATTCTCTGGTAAATAGCAGCTCTCCACACTGGCCCTTTTAGGTTGTGATTGCTTTCCCGTCCTGCTCTCCCACAACCGTCGCAAATGATTCCTCAAGCCACTATTTCCTGCTCCGTCTCTCTGCAGGTAAGACTGCTCTTCCTCTTTCATGTGCCTCTTGATGGCCTCCTCAACCCTGCCTCCACCTCCACAAACCTGGTCCCCCCTTCTCTATGTCTGCTGTGTAAATGTACCACATGTAGGGTGGAATAGAGCTCTGCAGGAGGTTTATGGAGCTGTGTCACTGCTAGAATATTGTTATGCTACAAACATACAGTTATGCTGTCATAGTGGTAGTGGCCTCTTACCAAAACTGCTGAAGAGGGTGGCCATTGCCTGGTTCTTGGCCATGTCAATTAGACCTCTGCCCAGACAGAAATGTGGGAATATCAGCAGCACGTTTTTCACGATGTCATTGATGCGGGTGACATTCTGTTGAGGAAAATGCACACAATCTCAAAAAACAAGATACAAATGAGTGTAAAATGTAATGTAGAAACTTTGATTAAGCCCCGACTGGCAATTAGGCAGGCACAAGCCCAATATGTTGACTCGCCGCCTAGAATTAGCAGGGCCAGCGGCGCAAGAGGTTTGGAAGACAGTGCGTAGTGCTCTGATGCAAGCACGGATAATTAAAAAACACCATGCACTACATTTGCACGCTGCGAGCTGCTGTGTTGCGAGGTTCGAAATGGCCCGCTGAGGAAGCACAGAGCGTCTAAGTTCATCCAGCTCCTTGATGTTGGGATTCAGCAAGCATTAGGGAACATACTGTGTGATCTGTGAGGTAGCACACACACAGAATGTGTAAACACAAATTGATGAGGTGGTTCTCAGGTAAGCAGATGTTCATCCTTAAAATCCTAACTAAGGGTGGAAGGAGCACCCTGAGACCAAAAAGACACAGCTGGCAAAAGACAAAAACTGCGGAAACACAGACAAAACTCTGTGCGTCTGCCTCTGTTCTTTCTTCTGATACTGTGTACAAGAACTAAGAGGCAGGTAAAAACAAAAAGCCAAAGCATATTGTTTCAGTTTCACAAGGCATACATAAAAAAAGTCTTATCTTGACAGGGCATTTCCAAGCTACAACTTGTCCTTGTCCCCAAAATTGTTGCGACGATTTCTCTCATTCCTGAGGCTGCAATTCAATGGCGCCCGAGTAAAGCACAAAGGAAATAATGAATTTAATGAACACACAATGGACTGAGCTATAACAAACTGGCTCAAATAAGGACGGAGGTACAGCAAGTCAGGGAGGAGAGAAGGTATGGGAGAGGGAAGACTAAATACATGACTACGTTTGGCATGTTCGAAAGCAAGTTCATGCATTATGCAGAGTCTACTGCTTCATTGCAGCATAGTCTTCAAAGCTCTTGCATACATGGAGAAAGAACATAAATTCATCATTTTTGGTTTCTGGGCGAGCCCAAGCAAAGAGTAGGCGGGGGTGGCAGTGCATTTTGTTCAAGCTGTGTGCAAGAATTCCAGATGATGGCAATTGTTGTTCACAAAATATATTCATGGGTGTGTGTACCTGCTCTGTGATTTATGAGTTTCACTGAGTAAGCTTTCAATTGGCAGTTGAGGATGAGTGCATGAAGCCTGTCTACCTTTAAACAAAAAGCCAAATGCTAGATTAAAATGTATTTTTATCGAATAGTAACTTTACTGGATTTCTGTCTTTTTAGATGAATATTTCAACATGTTGGGAGGTCTGATTATTTGCTTTCTTGCACAGAGTTAGATGAAATTGATCACACTACTACGTTTCTACGGTGAATATGTAGTCTGAGCCAGCAGCTGGTTAGCTTAGCTTAGTGAAAAGACTGCAAACAGAGGGGGGGGGGGGAGAACTAGCCTGACTCTGTCCAAAGATAATAATGTGCATCAACCAGCATGTCTAAAGTTTACTACTTAGCATATTACATCTTGTGTTAGTAACTTCCTGGAGTTTGCACAGGTTGCCTGGCAACTGGTCCCTGCCAAGAAACAGTCAGGCCGTGAAATGGCTAATTGTCACTTTCGTGAATCGCTTGTGGGTGGATTGTGTCACCCTTGGACAGAGCCAGGTTAGGTGTTTCAAGTCTTGATGCTACTTCATATGTCCATAGTTTTATATTTAGCAGACAGACATAAGCGCGGTCTTGATCTTCTCATCCAACTCGTAACTCTCCTTTGAACTTGTTTCGTCACTTCTTCTTGTCATTGCTTTTTCTTAGTTCCATAACTTCCTCTTCTTCCTCTTTTCTTCTTCGTTGCATTGCTTCTTCCACATGATAATGGAAGAAAAGGCATGACCAGATCTGATCAGAAAAGTGACAAAGCAACTGCACTGTAGCTCCAAATTCGAGAAGAAAAGCTCTGCTGACGTCATGCATGCAAAGTCTTTTTGTCTCGGCCCCATCTTGGATGGTCTAAAATTGACATTAATGCAACAAAACAATTTGAAAAATAATTTAATCTATATTCCTTTTCATCTTCCATGTCAAAAAGAAGAAAGGAATCAAACTTGAACGGAATTCAAGATAGGAAAGTGGCCACATGCATATGAAGAGATCACTCTAAATTTCTCTAAGACACATATGAGAGTGTGATAAAAAGGCCCCATTGATCACGGTGTCAAATCAAACCTTCAGATGTCCGCCAATGTCTTCAACAATAATGCATCACTCCTTTTATCTTTCTTTAAACGTTTGCTTGAAGACTAAAGGGTACAAAGAAATGTAATGGCAATTCATAGCTAAGAGTAAAATAAGGGAGATACCTCCAGCACCGTTGCTCGGACCACACCCGTCTTCAAACCCGGCCCACATTTTGCTCCGAACTACTGTAAAGTTTTGTGTATGCATCTAACGGGGTTGTGACACTAAGACGGTGACAATATGTGACCAAAGACAGACAGATGCATAAACACCTGGCAAAGTACATTTTGCCATGATGACTCGCACAAAGACTCACAGGGTGCCTCGGCTGGCAACATGTTTCAGATAATGCCAATAAAGCACAACACTGACATTTTTTATGTCTAATTATTACAATAGCTCATACTAAGTGGAGCTGAGGTGCGTTCAGGCACATTAGCAATTCCAATAAACAGATTACACTTAAGTGTGTATTTCTGAACCAGTTTGTTATGTTGACTTTTATCCAGTTGATATGCATTTGTCCTTTCATGACAGCAATTATTTAAATATGGAAACTAAAACAATCTTTGCATCTGCAGTTCAATGTAACAGAGGAATGTATACCTTAAAATGCGTTAACACTATCTTTCGTTACGGTTTGCAAACATATTAATGTCAAATATATTTGTATCCCCCGGTTGTTCGAAATGTCTTGGGATTTGTTGAAGAAAACCTCCGTTGTGAACATTCATTATACAGAGATAAAGAAAGTCGAATACACAAACAGCTACGACCTTGGCTGAATGCGGCCCATCTTTCTGGCAGAGGAGTGCGAAGAGAGCAAGACCTAATATGAGATCAATACATGAAGTATAACATCTTTTCTTCACTGGGTGTTCATCAAGGAGATCTTAGAGGCTTCTTGGTTTGGGGATGATGAAATCCTAGACAATTTTCCTCCTTATTTTTGTGCTGTATGCCTATGAATCATTTTCAAATGGCTTTGAAGGTGGTACGGTCTGCGAGCCGCTTATCTGACCCATATCGCTACATGTGGTTATTCCCACAGCACGGCTTCATTCATAATGCTGGGAATCACAATGAGAGCAGTCTGACACAATATGAGGCTCAAAAACAGTCTAGTTGGATATATTCTGCAGATGATATTCATGTTTCTCTAAGCTACTGCAGTTCTTGTGTAAAGGTGGGAGCGCTTTCAGCCACCAAGTTCAAGAATGTTGATGGTAATCTAGCTAAATTATTGCTTTGCTTGTAAGACTATACTTGTTTGTTTTTAGAAGGGGTAGAGAGTTAACTGGACTTAGTCAGCAGGAGCCCTTGCTTCTGTTATGCTATATAAAAGGACTGATTGTAATGCCTATTTTAAACACCCCGCTGATAAAGGATGCTGGACTCTACACAATTACACTACATGAGGTAGGTAGTACCTGCCCACGCTTTTATGTTTATCCTGGAAAATCTATCTGTGCCTGTGGTTATCTATGAGTGGCACGTGGTGGAGGTATTGACTCAAACACTGCTTCAAGCATACAAGGCAGGCTGGGATTGATGCAATCCACAGGGAGCGGGACAGTCCTGAGGGGGAAAAACAATCTCCCATTGGTCTCGAGACAAAACTGGGGCACCGAGTCCGTAACACTGCAGCTCTGCTTCCTCTCTTGGAAAAATAGTGCTGTGCCCAAAAGGGATCTAGATCCACCCTGTGCTTGACAACAGAGAACAGACTGAGGCCTGTGGCTTTGCTTTTGAGTGACATTGTTTAACTAATGCCACCGCTGAGGAGTCTAAAAACAATGAGACAAAGCTTTGAAACGGTAGAAGTCGCAAGAGGGGAAGACTAGTTTGAGCTGTCAGATGTAGGATCTACCCTTTATGCCTGACTTGAGCACACTGTTGTATCTAAGCTAGCTATTTTGTGAAGAGTCTTTTCCCTAAAGATATCAACGCTGAACAGGGGACACATGGAAACTTGGAGAGTTGTAGCATTTGTTGATTGATGTTGACCCATCAGGCTCTCTTATCGGCCGGGAAATCAAGTCAGATTAGCAGAATTACCACGGACCTCTGTCCCTGTCAAGTCTCAGAGAAGCACTATCTCTTTCCCTAACGTCTTGGACAAGAGAAGAGCACAATAAATCTGTCCCTTTACACTGCCAGTGGGCAACATGCTGTCCATTAAATTATTTCCAATGGCACCCTGTATGAGTAATACGCTCCTCTAACGTCGTATGAATAAATAAAGTGGATGCAGAGACAACGAAATGGCAACAATGACAGACAATGACAGACAAGACTTGCCAGATGAACAATACAAATTGATAATGAATGTTTGTGATAATGAAATCACAATGCAAATGAGGAGGCAGCCTTGTTAGGAGACAAGAAACCTCCACGCCATCGACGAGCGGCGCCAGAGGAAACATCAAGTCAGAGGCAGGCGTGTCGGGGGGGGGGGGGTGACACAGAGTGTGCAGAGGCAAATTCTCCCAGACAACATTACGCTCAGTCTGAAGTGTGGGCTCAGAGCTGTGGGAGACATTCCGATGAAGCATCAGATGGATAAGCAGCTTGTCAAGGGAGTGAAACGACATTGTGTCTGTTGACAAGGAATGACTGATCAGCACGAGGCAAAAAATAGGAAGTGAGAAAAAATAAATCCTAAAGTAGGGGATGTGTGCTAATCACGTAAATAACAATTACGTCTCCAAATGAAATTAGTCATATTTAGTTCAGAGACCAAAAGAAAAAGACACCAAGAGGAGAGGATCACTTTCTCAATCATTACAACCTGTAAGGCACCGAGGTCCCATTGAGAGCTCTGGCTGTGAAGCAAATTGTAGAGTCAGAATAGACTCATTTCTCACTGTTTTTGTATTTATTTATTTAATTTTTCATGAAATATCATTTAAATTCTAATCAAAAGTAAAATGACTGACAGTCACCATCCCTCTGTCTCAGTCTCTTTCTCTTCCTAAGCTCTCCATTATTTATGCAGGTCTTTTTTTGGTGTCTTTGTCTTTTGATTCCCCTGAGACCGAAGCAGCTTGCAGTTTAAATGAACACTTGCTGAAAGATGGATGAGGAAAGTTCTCCGAAGACCCAATTCTCACCAAACGGTTAAACATTAAAGAGAATAGGGGAAATACTTCCTTTGAAAAAAAAATCCTTGAGATGATAAAGGAAATAAATTAAAAGTTATACCAGGTGGGTATACACTTCACCCACATGTGTATGGAAGCCTTTGCCTTGAAAAAACACAGCGTTTATCTATGATTCAAGTCAATTAGCCATCCACTGCTATAGCCACCAAATATGTTTTTTTATGCAGCTATGGGAGCCTGGATGTCTGTGCTTACTGTTTCACAGGAACTGTGTCTTCCACCAAGTTAAAATTGCTCATATACGTGAGTCTCTTGCAGTATATCTGTGCATGTGTGTGGCAGCTACTCACATCATCATCAAAGAGCTCCATCACAAAGGTCGCGATGCTGCCGTTAATGCCAATGAAGAGGTTGAGGCAAGTCAGCACCACGTAGGCCGTGCTGGGCACGCTGAAGATGAAGGAGGCTGGGTACATCATGGGGGTGATGGACCACCTACAGAACACAAGACACTGTCACACACTCAACACCAATGCCGTGCAAGTAGAATTCATGCCATTTACAACGCAGACTACCAAGTAAATTGTACAGTTTCATGGCATCCTCTTCTGATCATTTGCATGTTAAGTACCTGACCCATAAAACACTGCTGAACAATAAATGCCACCCACGCTTGGCCTGCTGTAGTTCAAGTTCAGTATTAGAGGTAGTAGAAGTGAGGATCTGCTCTCAGTAATCACTGAAGTAGTAAAACAACAGCTCAATCTATTTTAAATAACATTTTATAAATGAGTTCAGTATGATTATGGGCATGCAGGCAGGAATAAAATAAAAAATCCAATTGACCACAGATTTTTAAGTGTTTCATAATGTTTTATCTGTCGGCTTAAAGGTCAGTCTCTAAATCTCTTTGATACATTTTTGACATCATGCAAACCATTACTTTATGCTTCATGATACGGCTGATCATGTTGCGTGCTATACATGTAACGCCGCGTTAACATATTGACTTTCATTGGCTTTCACTTGGGAACATACAATGATGCAACAACCACTACCATTGCACTCATGCTCTGATCACCACCAGGACACAGTACCTACTTTATACTATTCAGCTTTAATGAATGTGTTGCACATTTTGCCTGCAATACTAAAAAAATGTAAACAGGAAATTTAAGGCTGGTAAGTATCGACTTTGTAATGTACTTACCCATACAAAATAAGCAGCAGAATCAAAGCAGGCAGGTTAGGAGGTGAAACGTAGGCTTTTTGTTGGAAGCAGAGGAAGATCACAATCACAATCAAGCACGGGATGATGTAGTTACACTGTGGGAACGAACATAAACAAGCACGCGAAAGAATAAGCAGCTACCCCCCCATCAGAAGTAGAGGCCAGTTAAGAAATACATTTCTCTTCATTAGTGACGGCTTAAAAACATTTTCAATCATTAACATTATCCCACCCACCCCCATTTTTTTTTTACACGGAGAGGACGTGTAATTATGAAGTAATATCATCAGCACTCAAATACATCCCCCTTCAATTTTATAATTAATACCCTGAATAATAGACCCATCTAATTCTCGTGTTTGAGGCAAGTGGTCCCAATGATTTCAAATTGTTTTTACTTCTATGTGTAATATTGCAGTTTCCCATCGTTGATGTCGTAAATGATGTAGTATAGATTAAATACAAATAAAGCATCAAGATACAATGATACATGTTTATTTACAAAGAACAGAAAAAGTTTAAACTGAAATATTAAGGGATTTTTCAACCTGGATTCCCTGTAATATCACCCTTGATAGAGTGTGTATACTAATACAGAGAGCTTCAGGCTAGACTCATTAGACTGGCTCTTTAGGTGTATTTGTCTTCCACTCAGACAGCATTTATCCACCATAATGATGAGCATCCTGGTGCCATTTCTTTACCAAAAGGTACCTGATAAAATGTTTCCTCCCATTATGCCTCAGGGAAACTGTCAGTAAGCATGTTGAGTGTAACCAGTGGGGGCAGCCAGCATCGATAATTACGCCTCGGCTAATAACTGTTGCTTTGGGGAAGCTTTTTCCCAGAAGCCAACGGTGTCAAAGCTGCATTATCAATTACTGCAAATGGGTATTTTTTTTTGTTACATTCAGCCTTAGCTGGATACAAATCTGCTGGATAGTACAGCAGAAAGCATCACAATAAGGTAAATTGAGGCCTACAGCACTGAAACTAGAGTCGAATGAGTTGCATTATCATGCATATCGTGTAGTTTTAACACAGATTTTATGAAGCACGTAAATAAATGGCAATAATATTTTGTACTTTAAGAAGTTATGATCAATTAAGAGGTGATAAAGCAGCCTGACGAAGCTGATACTTACCATGTCCCAGGCAAAATTGGCCAACCAGTAGACAGCTGGGTTTACTCCACTGACAAATTGCAGATGTTTGGCTTTGTTCACCCTCTCTTGGATGAGGAAGAGGACAAAGCTGGCCGGGATGAAGGACATGGCAAAGATAACGCAGATGGACACCACCACGTCACTGGAGGTCGTGGCCCTGTGATTGAATGGAGAACAGCATACAGGAAGTTGAGTGGAGAGGTAATAGTGTGCACCACGACACTCACAATGAAACACCAAAATAGGAGCGGAGATGTCTAAACTGTCAACAAAATGTTTGATTTCTTACTCAGACGTACAGGATGTGTTTTGGATCTGTAAATATCCTTTTTGATGTGAACAAAGAAGGCCACGAAGATGAAAATGATTCCATTACAACACAGGTAAATAGGATGATCATATTGTTGCCACTGTGTTTCATATGCTAAGATATGTAGGCCATTACCTCAGCCTACTGTAAGTTGCTTTGGTTTAAACTGTAGACACGGATTGGAATATGAAATATCTTAATACAGAACTTAACTCAACGGAAATCTTAATTAAATGGTCTCATGACTTCAATGCAAGTGATGAGAGCTCTAGTATTCATTTTAATGTATAATACACTTTATTAAAATAGCACCTTTCAAAACACCGTTACAAAGTGCTTTATAATATAAAAAGAATGCATTTAAAAGACAAAGAGAACTCAATAAACTAAAAGCCAACACCTTAACACATACAAATAGAGATGATAAAACAAACTAAAATGTCAGAAAATCACAGAAAGGTGTTTTTATAAGTTATTTAAAAGATGAGACAGAGAAAGATCAAAGGCTCTATGTATGAATCTGGACTTTGTTACAACAAGGAACAATATAACTGAGGATGTCAGGGTTTGAGAAGGGACACAGGGCAATATGAGAGATGATAACTTTGGGTGAGGTCTCTCAGGGCTTTGTACAGAATCAATAATATCTTAAAATCAATTCTAAACGTAACAGGTAGCCAGTGTAAGGAAGCAAGGATCGGTTAAACGCATTCATGTTTCCTAGACTGAGTCAAAATCCTTGCAGCAGAGTGTTGGATGAGCTAACGGCAGGAGAAGGATTGTTTTGCTGATGCCAGAGAGATCCAAGGCGTGGGTAACGGTTTCTATTGACTTCTTACTGGTATACACACATATACATACCGGTTCACTTCATTTTCAATTTTAAGTGGGGCACTGATTATCAGTGCATCCCAAAGCATTCATGGTTACCTCCTTTGTAAAAAAGACCAAAAAACGCTGGTGTAGGTGAGAAAAACAGAAAATGTTACTGTTCTGTGCTCAGGAAAAAGTGTACGCAAGATTCAAGGGGATAAAAACAGGCCACTTGTTGGTTCTCTTATTTCTGGGAAATGAGTTAGATGACACTTCCTGTAATGCAAAAAACACATTATTACAATAATTAGGATGCATTTTGTTGCACCTTCAGAAATAATCTATATAACTAAAGTCTCAGGCAGTATTAATGACTTCATTAGACATTAGCACTACATAGATTAATGGAAAGCTCTGAAAATGCAGTTTGTATATAATAAAAAGGCTTTAAACGGTCAGGAGCGTTCAGAAACCATGATAGGTTCACCTTAAATCCGTATCTCCAGGTAAAGAGAATATAGGAGCAGATATTTAAAGTCTTCACCAGACTTTTTATATGCAACAGTCTCCTTCTTTCATGTTTAAAACAAATGGTCCCTTTCTCCCCCAAGACGTTGACCTTTGTTTCACTGTCGTGTCTTCATTCACGCCATCCTAGCTTTGAGAATGTCCTCCGTCGTGCCTGCTCACTTAGCACCGGATAACACCGTGGTGTATTCTTTAAACCCTCACCTTCGGCCCGCCATAATCTCTTACGTGATTTCCTGCTGTGTGATTGGCATATTTAAATAAGTTACCCTGTGTGGCAACATGGCTGTATTCATCATCAGAAGCAATTAAAATATATAAATATGAAATAACTCACCGCAGTGGGTACCGGGCCCACATTGCAACAGGTTTCAATCGGCTATGTGCTCTGGTTGGGTGGTTTGATAATGAAGGGGACACAATGCTGTGAATGATCTAACCCTGAATGCTTGAAGCCGGTTAATTGCTGTGAAGAAGAGGACAAGCAATCTGCTAATTAACTAATAATGGAAGAGCAAGAAAGATGAGCAGCGGGAGTCGAGCTTTACAGGATCTATTGCTTTCCTTTAGGTTTTTTTAATGACAAGGGCTGCAGGGCGCAGTCTTAAATGTTAAAGTGTAGGGGGGGGGGGGCTGAAAGCTTGAGCTAATTATCAAATCTGAAGCTCCTGGCACAACATTCGGGTTGTCATTTGTATTATACAGTATTATGTAGATAACATAGAGAACCATTTCAATTTTGATAGAGGCATATGACAATTAATTTGCTAGCTCATCCGTATAGGGTTTTTAAATGGGATATTTTTGCAGATAGAGTGCAGGAATCAGAAATACTATTAATTTGAGTGTAGCCAAATTACACATCAAATTCAACCGGGGCGGAAGAGCAGAAGTTTTTTTGTCAGTTGCCAAATTGATATTCCTGAGCAATTAAGAAGTGATACATACTGTGTATCTCCAAATTTAAACGGTGCCAAAGTCTGACATTTCTGAAAATGAGAGAGAATTGGAAGGTCCTATTTTTTGCGCCAATGCAGATGAAACACAGAGACATTGCGCAAATGAAGTGGTACTTTGGATAGTTGTATGCATGGACTTTCTTTAGAGAGATTTTATTACAAATAAAGCTACTGCTAAAAAAAACCTCTAAAAACAACAGTTCTTCACATTGTCATTTGATCCACTGTTCATATGAAACTAATTGAAGTGGATCTTAAAACATCTTAATTCCACAGTGCTTAAGTCATCTGCTCAAGATGTCTCTGCACCTTTCCCCCCCACTCTCGTCTGCAGCCTGCGCACTCATTCACCAGTGAAGAAGTGTCCAAGCCTATCTGGAAATCATCGTTCATAAATTGCAGTCGTCACAGTCTGCACAGAGAAGTGGAGAGGAAAAGAGGCTCATCCTGAATCTATCGTAAGCAGGCCGTCGTAATTATCCCTTAACTATGCCGCAGTGTCCCTCTCTAACTCAGGGCTGTCGTCGGGCACCTGATCACTACATAAATACCTGAGGATTGGCCCGGAGCGAAGGTGGAGTGCGGGAATAAAACTGCTAATATGTGCTGATTGGTAGCAGCCACTGGATTGCCGTTATAATGTCAGGAGTTGTGGCTATGGCACTGTACAGCAATGTTCTGCAGTTGGATGTATTCCAATTTATTTCCTTTAAAAGTGTTGATCAAAATATCTGAACAGACTAAATATCAACAACAGTTAATGTTGAGGAATAGACACCAGCTCAAAAGAACTGGTAGCAATCACAAAACAGTACACAGAGATCTGTTGGATCCATATGTTGTGATTTAGCACGTCATTAATCTCTGACTCTCATGGGGAGCTGCTCTACTGCTAGCCCTGGGATAAAGCAGAAAACAGGGGTATATCCTCATAAAGGGCTCATACAAATCCCTCATCTATCTATCTGTCTTGCGCTTTCTATTGTATTGTCTCTTACTCATCTGTTCTCCCTTTGTCTATGCTGTCGCCGCTTCTCTTTCTCCCACTCCGTTGCTCTGTCCCTCTCACTCGGCTTTATCTCTCTCAGCTCCCCAGTCACCATCAGTCTCTTCTCCTCTGCATCTCCTGATGTATTGTTCGAAAAATCAAAAACTGTGTCTGCCAGCAAGAGAGAAATGTTATGTAGCAGCGCTAAATATTGAATCCTGAGGAGGAAAAATAAGATGCAGTTTCCGGAAATAAATGCAGCACACGCTGTAGACACCGTAGAACATTTTGTTTAACACGATTAGATGCTGAGCACACGTTATCCATATAGATTTGGAAATGTCAAATCACACATTTTAGAGGCCTGGTTCCTTCCTACCCTATTTTCTCTGACCTGGACCACCACGAGGCACGTGTGATGAATTAATGCCGAACAGACAGGCATTTTCAACTTGCGCCTTTGCTCCACAAAGCTAAAGCTCAGCAGCATCTACCCCTTTAACCCGGTCCGATGACTCACATGGCTACAAAGGAGAGCTGCTCCTTGGTGAGGTTGAGGGGGTGATTGGACACAGAGATGCCATACTGGCTGGGATCCTGTCCCGCCGGCAGGTTTCCCCTCAGGATGGCGTTGTTTGCCACACTGAGGAAGGACGCCATACCATGCCATGCCTTGTTGTAGAACCACACCTGCAGAAGTAGAGACAAGCATTAACACTGAGAACAGCATGTACTGTCGGGGCTGTGCACTACCTTCTGATGAGACATTTAAAAAAAATATATATTCTGAGATTGATTTCTTTATCAAAAAGGTAACCAAGCCATTTGGACTTGACCGGCGTTGTTCCATTTGTTTTAGTCCCAACTTAAGTCGTCTCACTTTACTAAAAGACTTGTTTTTCTGGCTTCATTTTAGCTTTGTTGGAAAGCTGACTAGCCAGAAAAGTAGCACAGAAAGTTACCAAAGAATGGTTAGACAGAATCTGTCTGCTAGTTTTAAAGCTGGGTTGCTACAATCAGCTTTTGAGAAGAGCTTATAAGACCTCTGTGCCACCGTCGCGGCAACAGAAAGTATGTAGAATCACCTATAAAACCTTGTTGTTTTTCCCCAGATGAAGAAATGGAGAACACTTTGCCAGTGACGAGTTGCCGTTGCCATTTTAAGATACACCAAGGTGCTGGTGCATTACTGTCGGGCTACTGTGAATTGCCCCATGTATTTTTGTAAGTGATTTGTGTCCACTTAGTGCACAAAACGCACTCTGAAGAGAGTGTGGTCAAATAATCACTCAAACTATTTTTGGGGCAATGTCCTGATCAAGCTGGAAAACATTTCTTTTTTCATTCAACAGAAGATTAAAAGGCCTGCAATGAAGGTCAAATCCCAACGCGGTGTAGCATGCTAGCTGCAGAGACGGAGTAAAAACATTTTTGCACACTTTCTTTTGAATGTAAGTGATTCTCTGACTCTGTGGCTGCTGGGGTGGAGAAGAAAAAGAATGGATGATAGAGAGTGGGAGAGAGAGGACTCCCCGCTGATAGTGCAGCGCTAATTAAGAGTGGATGGTGGTTGAGTGTCAGCCTAACATAACACTGCATCACAGAGGAGAATGTGGAGTACACACACAGACGTGAACGCACACACACACACTCTTGCCTCTTCTTCTTTCTGTTCTCGCCGAATCTCAGATACACACATCGACCGAAATTGATATTATTTTTCACTATCATATTTTCTTCAGCCTGCAGTTTCTGAAAGGTCTGCAGCTAAAATATCATTTGATGTATTCAAGATAAGTAGAGAGTTAAGAGCACAAGCTTGTCTGCTAAATGCACGAGGGTGTTGTAGAGAGAGTCAAAAATCCTGAGAAGATACAGTAAGATGGCAACCCACATTGCATTTTCACTTCTGAAACTTCAAACATCAATTTATTTTGGGGAGGAGCAAAACTCTAGTCTCAGTATATAGGACTGAAATATTTGTACGAGATATTAACATCAACATAAATTCAGGTTTAATGAAGGTAAACTGCCGTGTGTGACGGCACTGTGCTCAGACCTGGCACTTTCCAGAGGCTACGGATTACAAACAGCACTACAACCCTGGCAGTCAGCTGTCTGGTGCTTATGAAAAGCTGATTAGATAAGTGACACTGCTTTCTCGCTGCCCCTCCATGTTTTATTGAGCCAAACCAATCAATCAGATATTAGTAAAACATGTTATTTCAATGTGTCATTTTTATGATTGGTTGGATTGGGTAGGACAAAATAAAAAAACTTTGGGGGGGATACTATGTGCTGGTGGGGCAGGTATACTTGGAGTACTGTTAATAAAAGCTATAAATATGTAATATCAAATTAAGTTCTAATATGTTTCAATGCAAAAAAAGTAAATGTTTAGAATCCCAATATGTGATCTAATATGTTATTAAAATTTGTTGCGATCATTTTTGGGTGCAGCTACAGGGTGCCTTGAAATCGACCGTTGCTAAACAGTCTGCTGGTAAAATCATACTTAATATTTTGAACACAGCCGAGGGACCCACAGGCACTGACCTGAATATGTGGCTGGGTCCAGCTTCGTGGAGTCATTTTGCCAGCAGCGATGTTATTAGTGTTAGAAATTAGTAGTGGCAAAAAATAACACAATTTGAGTTGTTGGTGTACTTCTTCCACCACTGATGTTGTCAAGTTACACTTTATACTAAGCTTTGAGACCGCATTTTATGTCATTGCACACCCTTTCCCATTCTCTACAAAGGTTAAGAAAACAGTATTTGCATTAATAGACTGAACCATCATGCCATACCCTACCTTTACAGCAATCTACTCATAAACCAAGGTGTCATTATTAACCTGACCTCTCCTGATTTAGCAAGAGATTAATTATATAGGCATTATCATTTATAATTAAGTAAATTGCACAGGTAGAAAGATGAGTAGACAGGTTTTAGGTGGGTATGCACCATGACTGTCTCTGCCTATATCCCATTTCTCTTAATCACCGGCGTTCCTCCCATAAAAATCTGAACGGCACCTTCCTTATTTCACCTCAGAGGTCATTAAGCTTTAATCTCAACATCATCTCAAACAGCAGAGCAAAACGAGCGCACTGCAATTAATATATTACCTTGAGGTTGTCCCTGGTTCCCAGCTTCTTCAGCAACGTCTCAGCCTTCTGGAAGATCTGGTCAGTCACATTATCCTAATAAAGACGAGGAAAACAAGACGACAACAAAAAACTGAGTTGGAGACTTAATTGGATACACTTGGAAAAACACCACTGCTCTTTGGAATGCAAAGCATGAGGCAGAGGGAGACAAGAATTAAGACCCAGGAGCACTTGGGTGTGCTGAGACACTTATTTTCCTCAGACTTGGGAGAAATGTACTACGCTCATGTTGCATGTGAAATGAGCCTTGGGATGAGGGCTTGAGATGACAGGCGATTTCCAAAGTGTCATGTTGATAACATGCTGTTCAGCCCAAGCATAAGTGCACACAACTCATGTGATATAAATGCAAATGGACCTCCTGTTGGACCGCGCCTTCATAGTGGGGTGGGGTGGGGGGGGGGGGGGGGGGGGGGGGGGGGGGTGGATGTGGAATGGAGTGAGGAGTGGAGGGTGGAGGAAAAGTGCTGTGACATCTGGGGAGAGAGGTGGGGGGTATAGACGAAATGAGAGGAGGAATATCAAGAACGACGTCCCAAGAATGCAGGAGTGTGCTCAGGTGCAAGTGCTTGTCTGCTCTGTGTGAGAGCGGAAAGGAATAGACACAAAAGATATCGCAGTCCCCATGACAGTTACCCACGGACAAGGACCGAGGAAATCATACCACTTATGTTCTAACTTTTTCTACCCCAGAATCCTTCACTCAGCCAATCCTACACCACATCATGACATTCTCAGACATTTTGAAACATTTCAAGAGTGTATGCAGAGCTTTTTATTCGCCCTGCTATATCTCCAGTTTGCTTTCAGTATTGTAGCGTAAACTCTTCATCAATTCCCACGACATTGCGTAAAAACTGGGGACCCGCCTCCCCCTGAAAAAAACCCGCCCCCATCACAAGGATCAACGCTGCTCTAAGACATTACCTATTCCTACACTGGGCACAAAACAAGTCTTCTACTCTTGCCTGTAATGCTACCTTCAGCAAAAGCAAGGGAATCTTTACAGCATTTTTTTTTTGTTTTCCTTCACTCAGGTTTGCATTGTGCCAAGCAGCAACGGGCAGCGCCATTAAGGCGGCCTTACTGAGGATTAGCGGTGGCTGAAACGAGATGAGAAGTGGGCCAGCAGCTGCCTGGGTCTAATCCTTGACAAACTCCTCCCCGCTCAAGGACAATGACAAGGCTGGTTTGGCCAGCGGACCAGCCCGTGCCACGGCTAACGACACAGCAATAAAGCCACTCGAGTGTGTGGTGACTTTCTTGGCTTGTATTCCAAAGTGGCCTGCACAGTTCAGTGGTCAAGTGCTCTGTGTGACTGACTGGTCGTGTGGTCCGTGGGACAGTGTGTTAATATGTGTCTGCGTGTGTGTGTAGGGTGTGTGTGTGTGTGTGTACTGAGAACTTGCCAGGAAGGAGAACTTTTGTAAAAATATTTCTCTGAATATAAATGCTTAAAAAGATATTGTTTGAGAAGGTTACCATATATTACAGGGAGCAGTAGTGACATTAACACCATCTACATAACACATATTTTGAGATACAATTTTTGGGGATTAATTATACAATTTCCAGCACACAGGCTTTCTTGTTTCTCATTGTTCCCGTCACTTCTTGCAACACCAAACCCTATTTCTACCTGCTAGACACAGGAAATGCAATTAAACTGAAATTTCAGAGCCTTCTTCCCGGCCTGCACTGGTGGCTCGGAGTGCAAGAAACACGCTACTTCCCGTGACCGTCTCACATCGCGATGCCTGCCGAGCAGGAGAGAGCCAGACATTTCCCAAGGACAGTGAAGCACTTTAACAACACGGAATGCAGAGCTGGGACGGCTAATGCCCGGCCATTAGGGTTACATCATCGCTGCTGCACGAATTAAAGTCACATTAGCGTCGAGATCCAGCAGACAGAAAAGGGAATCCGTGTAGGGATGAGACCGGAGACGCCTGAGGGCAAAGCAATGTGCTGATCTCAAAGTAGTTTGAGAGTCCAAAAAATGTGAAATGTTAATGAGAGACTGTGTGTATGCAAGAGAGAGAGAGACAGGTATGTTGGCATGTAATTCAAGAAACACGGTGCCTAATTAAAAGTGTATGAATGTATATACATGAATTGAATTGAGGTGGTGAAAGTAGGTAAAGTTATAAAAATACAAGAGCAAAAAGGTTTGCAGGATTGTGTGTGAGTGTGTGTTCTTGTGCAGAGAGGACCCAGATTCCTCCATTTATTCAAGGCAATGCACATACAATCATAGCCTGTTGCCATGGACACTCAACTGAATGGATTTGAAGAATCTAGCCCTCCTCTCATCTTTGCTTTCATTCTTTTTTTGTCAATCATTCAAGAATACTGTGGGGTCCAAAAGTTCCTCACAAATAACATCACCTGTGCCCAAGATACAAAGCTAGCTGAACAAAGAACGCCATGCTCCAATTAAGAGCAGCTCACTCAGAGAACTGCTGGCAAACTGCAGAATTGGCAGGATAAAAATCAGTTTCTGAATCACTTCTTCAGGCACTAAACTAGTTGAAATTTTTCGTGTCGGAGAAAGAATTACAATGCAACAGAACGACCAACCGACATTGCCGGACTTAAAAAAAAAAAAAGGCTTAAAAAATAGTTTTTTAAAGATTAAGCTCAACCTTTTTTCAGTGGTTTCAAACAACATGTGTCCCCTTGGAACATACTTTTAAAATAAACAACACACTAGATCAGCACACTGGTGACTTGAGGGAGGTGTTATCATTCTAAGTTTTAGCGTTGCAGATAAAGAAATAGACTACTCAAATAATGCTGTGGAATCAAAAAGTTTGACTTGTGAATGCCAGTATTTATTACATACCTGAAAGGGACCGAATAGGTCTTTTACATCCCTGAATGAAGCTTTGATTGCTGCCTCGCTCAGACAGACTTGGGAGTTGACGACTCCGACAGAGATGCCTCCGTACCTGGAGTGGCGGTAAAAAGCAGAAAGAGAGGGAGGTTCAGGTGGAGGTAAGGGCATGCGAGTAATGTCAAGGACACAGACACACACACATGGATTTTTCACACTTTATACATGACCGTGTGGTAATTTGGCTGTCTTTGTGACAAGAAAAAAAAAGCAACCCAAAACCAAAGTGCCCGAGGAAAGTCACTAGTTTCTAAAGTACGACAAGAATAAAATATGTGTATGCACTGCGATAGCCTGATTTTTAAAACCTTAAATGCTGCAGCTTATTCAAACTAGAATTACCACCTCAGAGCCGAATGTTGCACTTTACATCCATGTCCGTCCAAAACATTATGTCACAATTAAACTTATTCATTCTAGAGTTTTGGCAAGAAACATTAGTTCAAAGTGCCGTTGACCTTTGACCACCCAATTCAAATCAGTTCATCCTTGAGTCCAGGTATATATGTCATGTTAACATGAATGGGACCTACAGATATAGGGATGGACAACCAGACAAGCAAAATAAAAAATCTAGAGTAAAGTTGATACTCACAACTTTCACAATGACATGTATTACCTTGTTTTACCCGAGCCTTCATAAGTCTTGACCAAGAAGTCCGACATGTTCCGTCCAGTTAGATCCAACAATGTGTCCGTTGTGTTCTGGATCCTCTGTGAGAAAGAGGAAAAAAGAAAAACACAAAAAGTTGAAAGACTGAATAATAAATCAATACTATTGGTTTGCCATTTGTTATTTTTGTAATAGTGACCTCGAGGTTAAACCTGCATACTCGATTTTCGGGGAACTTGGTAGCACAACAAGCTGTAAACACACAACTGACGTAGTATCACCTTATTAAGTTGATATATCATCTTATTTACACATCCAGCAGATACAGAGCAAGATTGGAATTTAGTCATGTTTCTGGCAGCATGACAAATGTTACTCCAATAGTCACTCTCGTTTTAGCCCTTTTTTGGTTTCCGTCAACTCCTGAGAAAAAAAGTATCTGGCTCTTCAGCGCAACATGCTACACTAACTTTGTCTGCTGATGGTGCTGGGTAGGGAGCATACAGTGGATCGGAGCTTTTTTCGCTGAAACCGCTGCCTCCTGCTGCTGAAAACGATGTTCATGAGAGCTGTGAGAGGGAATCAAAACACCGCAGTTGCCAAACCAAAACAATGCGTTGAAAGATGCCAAAATGCTCCGTAGTGTGACGCCTTTCACATTACACAAAGTCAAATCAGCCAATGTTATTACAAAGTGTTGCTTAGAGCAGCTTTAAGTTTAAGATGCAGAAATTGTTTCAAAACTTTTTCAGAAATTCTGAAAATGGAAAGCTAATCTGAAGATGATGACTACATGACTTTCATGCAACAAAAAGGTGCAACACTCTTCCTGTTACTTATGGAAGGATATAAAACGTTTGCAGATACTGGAGCACTTAACCGTGGCTGTAGTGTAGCACCATGAGCTGAAAGGCTGACCGCAGAAAGACAACTGCTCAGCCACCCGTAAAAAGTCACCCAGTAGATGTAAAATCAACAAAACTTAGGAGCAAGAACAGGTGATATCTGTTCGCAGCACTATGGAACATATTCTCCTTATCATCATAGACAATTATGACTGGCTATAGGGGGCCTGGCTGAAATCTAGACCCCCAGCCAATGCTGTGTCTAATGTCAAAGAACCCTAATTAGATGCCTTTCTGTGGATAAATGGGTACATTCAAACATCCAATTAGGGGAGGGTGCGACACACCACCCTGAATGCACTCCACGATGCGTAGACTGATACCTCACAGTACACACACACACACACACACACACACTCCTGCCGACACCACGCTGCTTTAGCCTTGCTTATTTAGAGAGGTAACGCGATGCTAATTAGCGGAGTGATCCTTGATAAAAGAATTGAGACCCCCCGACTGCAAGGCCATTTACCAGCGTACCCCCTAGTTATGCTGGTTATCTATCCTTCTGCACAAACAGCTTGACGTGCAAGCTTTGGGTAGACCAATTCTTTATCGCATTTAACATCCAGTAGATACACGGCACATGGCATGGCAGTGTCAGGGGGTATGGAAGTAGCATTAAAGCAAAAAGAGGAGATGAGAGAAAATGCTGGAGTAAAACAAGGAGGAGGAGACGAATATAGAGATTTTAGAAGCCAGATTAAAAACAAATAGGATAAATAAGACAGCAGAGCGAGAGCAGAGCGGGGATAGAAACGCAAGTTAAACATCGGAGAGGCGAGCATAGGAGGAAAAGAAAAGAAAAGGAGGATGATGACTGGAATCACAAGGAAAAGAACAAACAGAAGGAGAAAGCAGCGGAGGAAGAGGACCCATCTGGCTTATGAATCAGAGATAAGGAGGATGAACGGCACATCCACCTTGGCTTATCTCTGAACAAACATGCTTCTCTTTCAAAAAGCCACAGGAACTCGGAAACAAACAAAACCAAAAAATAAGAGCTTTTACACTCCGCTGTGTGTACATTGAGTTATACAGGAGCATGCAGTCAGTGTGGGTCTAATTATTTTGGCCTTGTTCCATATCCCCCATCAAAAAGACTGAAATGGGAGCATGACGCAATTGTGCAATACCCGGGCCTGTATCTCTTGTTCATTACCTGGGAACAGCTTCAGAGTGCTTGGCATTCTGTACATGACATCAGTTGTCCACAACACAATGGCAGCTTGATAGCTTGGGAGGCAAACAGGGGTGAGGGAAATGTAAACTAAGGAGTAATCAAATCTGTTGAATGAGCCGGCATACTGGAGCACAGGAGAGATAAGAGACTGTGCTGTGTTGATATTAATCTTGGCACGTCGCACTGTACCTCTAAGGTAAAATTCATATTTGATTTAGTGCGCACAAAAAAGAAAAGCAGATTCTTCTATAATTAACACGTGAAGTTGTCAATTGTCCTCTGACTAGGATTTTGCAAGGGATGATGAGGTTAATTGGGTTGTGTCATGCAAAGCAATACATATCTGTAAGTGTGAAGTTGTGACTACTATTTAACTCATTATGACATGATGTGTTTGTAGTGAAAGTGACAAGATGGCCCACCGTGAAAGCGTGTGCGTTTCAGGAGCTGCATTTCATTGTGCTGTGCGATTATGTCCACTATGATCACATCGCAACGACCATTTCAAAACGGAGCCAAACAATACCATTAGATAATGGCCGGAGTATTGTGGGAAGCACTCGCCGGGTAACACTCAGTTATCAACCACAGTGGAAAAGCTGCTGCGGGCTATTCTGTTCCAGATCACGAGAGATTGAGTTGCACACATCCACGCCTGATGACAGATTTTTCATCCGGACCCTTTCGGTTCCGTTAATTCACAACAAAGGATCAGCACCGCCTCCGTCCACCATTTGCCTCACCTCACAATTCAATGACCTTTCTGCTTTTGTGAGAGCATCTCTCGCCTTCCGCTGAGAGGAAGGGGGGGCTCTGGACAGGTAGTTTTACACTAAAATGGATATGCGGGTGTTGAGAGTGAAAGTGACAAATCAACAGGCCCCAGCAGAGAAAGGATGTCTCAGCCTGTTGTGTTCGCCAGGTTGAGTATTGGCCGGTGGGGTTTTCGGCAGTGATCTGCGGTTAGTTGGTATTTGTTCTTTGCCAAAAGCTGTTGTTTGAGAAAAAACACGCCCTCAGATTTGAAGTTCACAGATTCGTCATGGTTTCAGTGAATAAATGAAAACATTAAATGGCAAAAATATGTCTGCTCTGAGGATGTTATGTTGTGAATGTACACTCCAAACAGAAGTGCATGAAAATATTTAAATTATTATTATAGATTATGCTGCATTATAAAATAATAATTTTCTTTTCCTAAAGGTACAACAAATAGTCTTGCTGTAAAGACTTATTTACTGCTAAGGCAGTTTTTCTCCCCCCTCAAACTGACAAGCTAAAGTAGATAAAGGTATGTTCTATGCAGAACTTCTCCTTTTTCCCACACAAATGGTCAGCCAATGCTCGACTTCAATACACTGATTGATGACACCAAGCAAAGTAATTTGCAAGCAAGCTCTAGTTAGGCCAGCCTCCAAATGATAAATACATCAATCGTAATTCCGCGAAACGTGGTGGCTTTATCAATTCCTCCGCATACATGACGGCCTATTCATCTACGAAGGTTAAATATCACTAGTGAACGAGAGTCAATACCTCAGAATTGATAATGGGCTTACTGTTGCCTGCCATTTCCATGGAAACAATGATTCCACACTCCCTCCTGCGGTGATGTGTCCATGTTTTTTTCCCCTCTCTCGTCTTTTCTCTAGTTTCTCAAGGGCATATTAGGAGTATGGGCAGGATAAAAGATTTTTTTTTAAATAAAGTAACGCTGGTACACTTTGTCGTGATTTATTCAGCAGGGGAAGCTTTCAGGTCAAAGGGAATGCATCCTCACAATGTGCTCAGCTTCTGTGGGTGGTCTCTGCATTGAATTTATGGCCCCGATCACAGTCTACAGGTAAGGAAAGCCGCAATGGTGGGAATTGCATATGTTCCCACACAAACTCATAGTGCACATTTATATCACGCAGCATGTTACAATCATATATTCATATCTATCACAATATTTATCCTACCTCACGAGCAACAGTTCTCTGCAAAATTGATATTCTCTGCAGAGTTCATACTGTATATCTGAGCATGACAGCCACACTAAAGTTTCCATCCCGTGACCTTACGCTCCATTTCAAACTGTAAACTGTGGGTTATGGCCCGCTGGTGGATTGCCGTTAACAGCAGGAAGGCAACGGAAGTTGGAGAAATGTGGAGGGGTTAGGGGTATACAGTTACACACTGAACTAGACTAATGAGCTGGGGTCCTTTCACTAACATTGAAAAAAAAAAAAAAAAAAAAAGACCACAAGCTACCATTTCACCCTCATAATCACACTATGTTTCCACCATATTAACTCACACACTACCCCCAGTGGTGTAAATCTTTCAAGATTTTAGATGAAGAAATAAAAGGCTGCAAAGCTTGCTGCCTTTCTGTGTTACAAAGACTGACCCCAGCCACATAAATACAGTCTTTCATTATGCAAAAAGAAGGTGATGGACAGAGAAACGTGACTACTTAAAGCATGTGGATTGCATACAAATGTTTCCCCCCTCCTCACTTGTGTTCTGCTACATTCTCTTCTCTTGTAGAAGCTTCTTATTTTAAATCTACAGTTGCTTTAGCACACGGTGGGAGATGACTGGCAATAATCTCGTTGCATCATTATGACTCAATGTCCTCAAGGTTGTTTCAATGCAAAACTGAGAGTCCATTTAATATCCTTTTACAGGATCTGGATTGGATGTTGTAAATAAAAGAGAAATGATGCAAGTGAATGTAACAAGATGTAGACAAGCATTGGCCTTTATAAATGGTCTTTTCTATTGAGGCTAAGTGTACTAAAAGTGCCAGCTACATATAAAATGACACTATAAAGCAGAAATCCTGCAAAGTAGTGACAACTCATAGAATAACAAGAAATTGATTCAGGCCGAGAAACGCTTAAATGAAAGAATGAGTGAGGTAGTTTAAAATGGGAGAAGCAGGTGGAAAGGAGGAACAGAGCCAAATAAAATAGAGGGTTCGAAAAAAAGACCTTGATGGAAAATTGCACGATAAAGAATGATACAAAGATACAAGTAGCACCTCAACAAATGGGGGTTTTCCTTGACAGTGCTGTCATCAGCTAGGGACGAAACGTCAGGGCAAAGAAAAAAGTTACACAAAGGGCACCTCTCTTGTTTGGCCGTCTCAACAATCATCCTATAACATGATACCTGGACAGTTGCTCTTGTAAAGTGGCCCTGGATGGCCTTGTCACAGGAAGGAGCACACAGCAAGACTCATACAAGTCCAACGAGCCATTACAGATCTGTGGAGAGTGTGAAATGGCACATTACAGAGTGGGATATTGGTTAGAGGAGCTATAGGGGGGGGTTGGAAGGAAAATAAAGGAGTGACAGATGAGCGGTTTCAAACTGTGTTGTGTCACGTCCTGTCTGTCTCTGTGTTGTCTGTGTTCAAATATTTGGGGGGGGGCAATGCCATGACAATTATGAGACAAACTCACTTTAAATATATCTATGTGACTGGGAGAGTTTTCCTAACTGGGCCAGAATATATTTTTTTTTAACACTCCCTCACTTCCCCTAATAACTGAGACATAAAGGCACTTTGCTACTTCACAACTTTGCTTTGCAAATTAAACTTACAACGACTTTTAAAACTTATGTAATATGCATAAAAGAGCTGACAACTTAAAAAAAAAACTTGTAAGGCTATTTCAACCACAGTGAGGCATAACTTTGTAACTGTCTATTGTGTCATTAGATCCCAGCCACAAAGTGGATAATTCGCTGAGTGACACATTCATTTGATATAGTGGTATTTTAAATCTATAAATAAAATGATATTAACACAAAAGGCTTTAGGCCACGTTGCTGTATTTTAATTTTAATTATTATGTGTAATTAAAGTAAGTAAAATCAGTTTTCTTAAATAGTGTCACTGGAAAGTCAAATCCCTTGTGAAATATATACCCACATTACTACAACACATTTGTACTAATGTTACTTGAACATGTAAAGCTCCATCTTAGCCTAGTGTGGTTCAGACTTACAAACTAACATAACACACATTTCCCACCGCTCTTCAAGTTAAGTGCATGTGTTTATTCAAGTGAAATGTGATGCAAACTCTTGGTTTTACTGTATAATGTAGTTTATAAAGTAGCTCAAGCAACAGTGACAAGAAAGGCACTCTTCACTAAAGCTACTGTGTCAGAAATCCAGGTCTGCTTTGCAAATGAAACTGTGTGTAGGCTAAATGCGAGTGGGAAGCGTTGATGAGGTTGTCTGCTCTTGATGTGCAATCGAGAGAGAAGTGTTCAACTTCATGAATATACTAAGTGCTGATCATGACAACTGCAAGCTGTAGAGCCAACCATCATCAGATCAGCATTTACATCTTCCTCTAAATAAAGGTCACCACTGTGATTGTTGTTTATTCACTGAAGTGGATTTTCTTTTTGAATAATAGCCCATAACATCACTTCAAAAGCTGATGAATACATATGAAGCATACATATTGTTTTTGTTTTGCACCTACCTACACACACACAGGCTTATCTGCCACACCCTCCCACATCTGCAATCCGATTATACTGAACCAAGGCCGTCCACCAGCCCACACGTTTCAACTTATTTACTGTCACATGCACAACAATTACAACAAAGAGGCAGTCTGAGACCAGTCTGCGTGAGTTATTGCCTTATGTCCACAAATGAGTGATGATTGAAAGCTCTTGAAATAATTTGCTGAAATGCTATTTAAGCATGGCTATCTGTTATGATTTTCAAACCTTTTCAAAATAGCAGTTTGTCTGGCATGCTATTGCTTGTGAACAAACAGCTATCCAACCTAAACCACGACTGCGCATTATCACAGGACCGCCTACGCGCACGCAGGCAACCAACACTGGCCAATAGTTTGTATGAAAATGAATTTGGAAGTGCAAAATTGTGAATTATCTTGTAAATGCAGTGGTGTTTCGCAGCCAAATCTCAGGTATCAGACAGAAATCAGGCCTGGCCGTGAATTAACCGCCATCGTTTTTGTCAAAGTCGACCCGTGCCTGAAACACAGCAGCCGTTTCTATAGGTTATTAACAATAAAACTGTGATTTGAATGTCAACGTTACGAATGAAAGCTTTGAAGCTTCAAATTACAAGTCTTTTCGGTGCAGTAAAATACGTGATACGATCTCCAAAATGCACCTTCTCTTACCAAAACTGGTTGAACAAAAACTGTCGTGTGCTTCATTCAAGGCCAGGGGGATTTTGAGAAATTACAGCCCGGCCCGGCGGGTCGGGTCCAATTGGTTTCTGGCAGAGAATCAAAGCTCTAATCAGATAGCAGAAGTCCCCCCGCTGCTTTCCTCTTCATCGGGGGGAAACAACAAACAACAAATGCTTAACCGTCTCCAAGATGGAGAAAATATTGGCAGATTTAGGTGGGGTTAGGAAGGAGACATTGGAATTGAAATCTCTTAAAATGCAGGCACATGCCACAAAGCCCGAGTATACACACATAGCCGTTTCTAATAAAATGACTTTGGGTGGAGGTGGCAATATCTCCTCATAGTCTCTCTCAAGCTTAGATTTCTCATTATCATTGGGACACAACAGTGCAAACCATTCAACTCCAAAGGAGCTACTTTCTCTTCTTCTCTTCTCTCTGTGACGTGATTGGTTCAGTCAGCAGGTTGTGGCTAGGAGGCAGGGATGCGGGGTCTCTAACTTGCCCAATCGATCTAGGCTTGGATCAAATCTTTTCAGGTCAGACCGTGCAACATTCGCCATAGCTGCATTTGGCCAAGTGTATATTGTTCAAGCAATGGCCTATGAAAGATTGGTATTGACTTCTGGAGGTTGAGACACGCAAACCTCCCAGAAATTGTAATGTGAGCAGAAAAGATGAAGTCCTTTGCAGAGTCTATACTGGCAGTGCATGCGATACAATGTCCTAAAAGGCGCGACAAGGTGAGAGGTCGGCATATACCTGAATATGACAAACTATGGATATATTGTAACTGAGTTTTTAGCAGGTATGGGGAACTGGCTGAATCCCTGGCAATGTCCGATTCAGTGTATTTGCAGTGGAATCAATTTTGGCCCTACTTTCATGCATGCAAGCTAGCTCAGAAAAGGGAGGCAGCACAAAAGGCTGATTTACATTTTGCAATGCAATGCAAATTCCTTGTTAGTAAGTACCTTTACATTTTCAAATCAAAATGATGCTGACTGGGACTTTCAGACAGCAAGCCAAAAGCTTCCATGATAAGCATTTTTTATTGTACTGTTGTGTCATTGATTTATTTTTTTACACTTAAGACCATTCCACTCTCTTGCTGCAGTATATCCCACTGTGACACACATACAGAGTACAGGGCGCACAGGAAGTCAGGAGCGGTACCCCTGGTTCAGGTCTTGCTCAAGGAACCTCAGACAGAGACTGACACACTGGCTGTTTGCATGGCATTCAATCTATGACCCTAAAGTTACGTAATGGTGGCTCCATTTACCCCCCCCATCCTGTCACCAAATGGTGCAAGCCCCAGATTAAGAGACTTACCTGAGGTGGAGGGAGCCCTCCTCCACCAGGGGGACAGTCGGGTAACATGATCGTCCGTTTAGGCGTGCTGCACTGACAGGAAGGGGAGGGGTTAGACATGCTCCAATTCCCGTTGAGGAAGATGTCAGTGACGGACTGATCCACGGATGGAGTGAACCAATCAGAGCCACTGGCAGAACATGGTAAGTTCCTAAGAGCAAACAATGGAGGGGATAAGAGTGTTTAACTGGTAATAATGCCAACCACATCTGCTGAAACACATACACACAGTAACGGTTGTGCAGGATTGAATAATAAAAAAAAAAGCTTCATAAGTAGTGAAGGTATATATATTTACTCGTATGCCATAGGAGTGGTGACACGAGTCACAAGTAATATATTAAAAGATGTGTGGTTTGTGTTTGAATAACTTCATTAGAGTAGGATGCATAAGCTTGTGTGAACTATGTGGGCTCCAAGCTAATACTGTAACTCCATTTCCTTTTTAGGTTTATAAAGGTATTCATTTTTAAACTTATTCTGATCAGGATGATCTGGAGTGTGTGTGAAACGCTAATCATTTATTGATCAAATGGAATTTTAGAAACGTCTGTATAAATATCATGCCGAGCACTCCTTTACAATGCTCTGGGATACTTGGCATTTTTTACAGCTTGTTCCATTTCTGCAGCATTTCAGAGACATGCTCTGACCTGCATGCCTCCGTGTTTTTACTCATGTGACCACTAGCCACATATACACAGCATGTGAAGCTCAACAGTTTACAAGTACCATTTGGCATGACTGCATATGCATACCCTAACGCTATTCATTTGGCTCTCGTGAGTATAAACACTTACGGTATTGGGTCTCCATTCATGCAGCGAGTCCCAAAGCCAGGCTTGTTGACCAAGGTTTCCACCACCTTAGACACCTCCACATTATCTGGCCCATCATTGCTGTAAATATTGGGGGATATAATCAATACAAATACAAATTCAAACATTTCAGTGTGCAATATGGTTTTCAATTTCATCTCACACAGCAGGTGCACGACAGTTAAATCCTTGAGCATCAAGCCAATCTGTCACAATGTCAATAAAACAAACCAAAAAGTGAAATTTGGCAAAAGCACAAAAAAAAAAAACCTTTTGGTATATCTGTGGTATAAATATCCTCATTAGAAACTGGTTTTAGAAAAACAGGAATTTACATGCTAGCATGTGAAGAGACACTAGGAGTAGCTTCCTAAACGTGCTGGAGCATTGTTTGGTTCAATGAGAGTTTGAGGAGGACAACCTCTCACCTGATTTTAAGTGGAATTACCCATAGAGACGTTCAAAATGGAAACGCTTAATCATTGTCTTCATGGTCATGATCAGTGATCGCTTCAGATCTATCCGTCCATCATGGAGTCTCTATCTTAAACAGCTGAATCACATTACAATCTTAATGGTTGATATTTGCATCTTTAAGGTTCCGTGTCGTGTCGAGACCACACATTCACTCCCAAAAGAGAAGACCGTCAAGTTGACAGAAAAGTGAGGGTTTCTGACTCCGCACCTCGACTGTGGGTTTGACTTTTGTCACAGTTGACAGCAAGGATTATTTGAGATTATGGGCCCTGAAATATCGAACCAGACGAATTATTTCAGTTAAGTGTGTGATATTGTCTACTCATGTACGGGACAAAATGCATTGTAAAATGCATTGTCACCATTAATTAGGGTTTTCCAAGTATTCTAATCCGTCTTCCATCACAATTGGTTATGATTCGACACGTTTTATAATCCGTCTCCCTCCACAAACGTCTAATATTTTACAAGTCATCTAATCTGTCTTCCACATTGGCAGAGCACAGGAGTTTAGATGATCATTAATCTTAAACGTATCTCGACATCAGAGAAGGCCTGAAAGGAAATGGCGTGCATCAGGGATTCCAATGTTGTGCATTTCAAGTAAATACTCAATGGCAATGCAGCATCCAACTGGGACTATCCCAATCAAGAGCGAGAGAGAGGAATCTTTTGAGTTTGCCAGCTCTTTTCTTTGGACCAAGAGTCAAAACATTAATTCCCAAAACACCATTGACAGTTCAGGGATTCACACTTTTTCTCCTACGGTTGGAGTCCAGCTCTGTCCTCATGAGTGTGCAAGCACGTTCCGATATGAGCCTGTTCAACATTCTGTGTACAGTATAGGCTGTTCACTGCCTTTCATTATTATCCGAGTGTCCTGTGCATATCTACGCCCCGTGTCTCAGTTAAACAATCTTCCCCCTTTCCAATTTCATTCTCATTACTAACCACACACATTCTGCCCTTTATCTTAAAGGTACCGTGGGAGTTAAAGCACAGCGTTTCATAAAGACCAATGAGATGGCCTTCTGCCAGCAGCGGGCCACAGCCCAGGCAGCCATTTGGATTAATACAGTGTTCACTGTCTCACTTAGAGGCGTCTCCATGAAGGTCACACGGTCACTTCCTTGGCCACCAGTGAGCGCAATTGAAGTGGCCCGATTGTAAAAATGGATTATGTGCAGCCATCTGTTTTACAATTAACAATGGCTGGGTTACCACATTATTCGAGATAATAAAACTGTTGGACAGTTCCAAAATGAAGACTTGTGCATTTACACAGAAAGAGTGGAACTAATGAATAGTTAGTGCATCTAGTCAAACATCACAGAAGTAAGAACTGAGACAACATTAGAAGAAAGTCAAACAAAGGCTACATTATATTACAGGAGTAACCCCTTTGGAGAATAAACCAAATTCAGTGTAAATATTACTTTTCGAAATTCTAAAACAAGAACTACACTAACCACAAACTAGAAATACAGAGGGTAACTAACCAACATTATTGCCACAGTTCACATTGTACAATCGTGAGCTTCAACCCCTAAATGATGTCAATCATTATCTTCAATCAGTCTCAGCTAAAATGGATCATTGGCATGCATGATGTATATAATGCTGCAATTCTCCTCTGAATGAACTGTTGAGATGAAACGGCACGCTACCTTTCATCACGCTGTCATCGTCAGCCAGGATATTTTAAAGTCTCTTCAGAGAAAAGACAATATTTACCAATTGGCCAGAGAGAATGTCAGAAAAATTAAGAACACTCCAGTTTTTACAATGCATCATACAAGAACCACTCCAAGGAATTCCCAAGAAAACCAAATCAGCAGTTCAAGTTTAGTCACAAGAGACTATGTGACAAAGTAGGCAAATCAGGCTCTGAAACCCTTGCTTGTGAGCCAGGATTTAATTCCTACTTGTCCCATGCTGCATTGTGTTAACATTAAGAAGATAATGTACACTGAGATATGTTATCACAGTATCATGTAAAGGTCTTGTCTGTCTTTTAAAAACACCCAGTAACATTGTATGTGTCTTCCAAGGTGTTGTTTTCAGGGTTTTTGTTGCTCTGCTGGATGGTTGTTGGTAAGTGCTTATGACAACTCTCCGTACACCACGCACTGGTCAAAAAGGCAGTAATAATACAGTGAATAAACTGGGTTTGACTGTTTCAGCACCATGAAGAGAGAACACGACTTGAATGTTTTAGCACCATAGACAGTGATTCTATTGCATCTTTGGCAAAGGTAAAGGAAGAAAAGCGCAACATTGCACTTTTAGACAAAGCTGTCATTTTTTTTTTAAAACAAAGTGTTGTGGATTGTCTCAAGATTCTAGCTTCAACTTCAAAAGAGAGAAAAAAAAGTTGTGCTTTCGAGAACCTTTTACAGAATGGATCATTACCAATGATAACAGCAGCAATGTCCTCAAGTGTTCCAATGCCAAAATTACAAGAAGACTGTTTCAGCAAAGAAAGTATAAAAATAAATACGCCAGCAAATAGTAGTGCAAGTCGCCCATTATCAGATATCAATGTAGTGGACTGGTACTATGTGGATATAACCAAATACACAAAACATTCAAGAAGTGTGAAGTGTCATTTGCGTTAAGTATCATGCCACAAAAATTGTTATTTACAACGAAGCAAAGTATTCACCACTATGTTGACTGGAAACAAAAAATGGAAACAAAAGTGCATAAATAGCATCACAAGTAATCAGTTTCAGGTAACAGTGTATTGTGTCTCGACATCATCAAAGTGGATTCCTACAAAGTGCTGCCAAAGGAAATGAAACACCTGCAGGGTGGATAAGCAACGACAGCTTCATGTCAAAAGAACATAGTGTGAATACAGTGTCAAGATTAGTTTGATGGTTTGGACACATGCAGTAACCATTGATGCATATTATAATTCAACTTTTCTCCAGCACCTTTGTTGTTACAGAAAAGGAAGAATGATGTTGCAGCAATTATGAGCCAACTACTGTGAATATAGAGAGATGCTCTGTACAAAATAATATTAGAAATATATCCATTTCTTTCTTAGGTGGTCATTATTATGCACTATACTTCATTAGGTGATATACTATTAATAAAAAGGCATTTACAGTGGTGCAAATCTGTGTGATCCTTTGCAATAACTCAAGTTCGTACTCAGTGGGTGTTGAAGTCGACCAAGGCCGTGCCTTGTCACCAAGTATGTGTCTTCTCAATGACAGAGTGGCAAGCTGCCACCAAGGAGGGGGACACTGTCCAGATTGATGACCTCAGCAGTGCAAAAATCCCTCGGTGATCAAACAGCATGAGCAGCACTGTGACATCTTTTTTCTTTGATTCTCTGTCGTCAAAGCTTAACTTTCTAACAGTGTATTGTTCATCTACTCGTGCTACTAAAACTAGGCAGCTCTTTTTATTATTTAATTATTCACGCCCCCTCTGCCTCTGATAACCTCTGATAACAGCAAACATCATTTTCTATTAGAATCTTTCCCTGGAAACATCTTGTTGCCTCTGGGTAATTATATTATCTGGTGTATTACACCATTCAGCAATATTAAAATGAAAAAGAAAGTATTGTGTTAACATTCACAACTAAATTAAAAACAGTGCTGAACTGGGTCAGAATGCCATAATTAACCAGAACAAACAAACCTGACAATTCATACTATGCTATATCATGATGTGGTTACCTGTAAAAGGTGGTTTGAGGCAGACCGTACATCCAAGGTTGCAGCTCCAGACTCGGGTATTCAGTGAATGGTGGGAGGATGAGCGAGAAGATCAGAGACAGGCACACAAAAACAGCAGGCAGGACCACCTAGGAGGATGTTAACAATGTGAAAAAAACTGCTTAAGACATTTATCCTGCTACATCTGTACTCCTCTGAAGTGAAATGTGACAGGAGACACAAAATACACAAGAAATTGCAATTAAACCACGCATATTTTTCAGGGAAGTAACTTCCAAACCGGTTGATTTCATATACACCTAAACCAAATGAACAAAACAGTACTAACGAGTAAAAACACAAAGTAGCTGAATGCGACAAACAAAATTGAACAATTTGACTGAAATACTTTCAGCTTAAATGAGTACTATCTGCTGCTAAGGCTACAACGATGACTCAAGGAACTTGAGAAACTCTCTTCTTCCTCATCATGGAGCTACTGTGCATTGCAGAAGCACAGCAATATTTTCCTTTTCATTTTAAGACGTTTGTAATTATAACATACAACGACATAATTCTGAGCGATAATATTAAAAAGTGGTCTTCTTAAAAGAACAAAAAAATGTCTACACGAGGTGGTACAGATGTTTATCTGTGCACTGGAGGCACAACAGCACAAGATTCAATGTCAGATCAATTTCATCACTCCCCCCCCCCCCACACTGTCATTACGTGCTACAAAATGACTGATGCAATCCACAATAACGCGGGCCGCTGTGATAATGTGTGCACATTAATATGCTCGACACCCACTTGTTTGGGCTCTTCTGCATGCTTTATGAGTTTGATTAAACACTTCCAACACTGCCACCATCATCTGGCCACTCAGATATAATTAGTTTCTCAACATTCTCTTGTCTTTTGCGTGTTTTTTTTAACCAGGCGCTGCCACGCTTCTCCTATCCTGCCCAGAACCCCCCCCCCCAATCCAGTCCTCTTTTCTCCATCTTGTAATTCTCTTTTCATTTCATTGTTAGAGCTGACAAAAAGGTCAGTGGGAAAGATGCAAGCTATCTTTAATGGTTAATCGCTTGTAGGTTGGAGCGCTGCTCGGCAGCAGGGGGAGGTTTGCGTACACTTGATTAATTGCAGGGCATGCAATTTGCCAGGCCAATTCAAGATGCTACAATTGAAAACCCTAAATTTACTGCTCGGAGCTACGGCCACGGAATTGTACTTGGGTGAAAGATAAAGAGCAGCAATGAGAGTGAAAAGCTTAATGGCAGACGGCAAGAGAAAGAACTATTCTTCTTCTGTTGCTCTCTCTCTCTCTCTCTCTCTCTCTCTCTCAACAGTAATTGCAGGTGAAAGCTGGTATTTCTGCCATTGAGAGAAATCTGCAAAAAAAACGGGGAGAGGTTATTATGCTCACTAAGCCAAGGCACTCCGATGAACAATGTATGCGTTTAGCGCATTCTCAAATTCAGTGGGAAGTTAAAGAGGAGGACGGGATTATATGCAAACTGGGTACAAACACCAAAACACAATTAAGATGTGTTTTATTTCCTGCAAAGTCCAATGGCTCATTAGATTAAGTTAGTTCCTGCAACAAGCATTTATGTCTTCCCTCTTTCATTTGTGAATTCAATGCTGCAGCTTGCGTTACAAGTGCACAATAGCATGGGATATTTTCACTGACGTGTTTAATGTGGTCTCTCCTTTTCTCAGCGTTCAGATAAAACATAACAAATAGTTGGTAAACCTATTGTTTCGAGTAAACGCAAATAATACAGAAACCTGAACAAATGAATGCTTAAAGAGCCAAGCTGTAGCCATAATTACATTAAAAAACAACACACATTCTGAATTATAAAAACGTAAATCATCTGCAGCCCTACGGCAAGGTAGCTGCAGCTGGGAAAGGTTGTTGTAGTCGGTTCAGTTTGAGCTCCAAACACCAGAACCCTTCAACACAACCACTAACTGCTTCTCCCTGATTCTGACATTGCCAGCACTCCCGATGTCCCTAACTTTCATCCCCATAAATCACTGCTTTTGTGTTACATGCCATAATCTCTTTTATATCCCCCTAACCGCTTGTATTCGAGGAGATTACCTCACCACACAATCATATCTGCTGACAATGGGAGCTGTTGACATGATGGGGGGGAAAAAATAACCTTTCGCCAAATGAATAAAGAGGGAGAGGTAGGAGGTGCGCCCTTGCAGACAATGTGCACC